TTTAATATTTAGAGGTGCAAAAAGTTAGCCATAGAAGTAGATCAACCAAAAGAGTATCCACAGAAAATTTATACCTAGGTGAACCAGGGGTAAACAAAATTAACCGTGGAACACCTAGGTGATCGAGGGGTACAAAAAGTTAACAGTGGAACACCTAGGTGAACTTCTTTGGTGTTCCACGGGTCAGAAACGTTTTTAATCACGGTTAAATCTTTAAAGACTTTTTGACATAAATTAAAATCAGTGTAGCTAAGTTTACACTAGGGTTAAATTAATGTTTTGTAAACGACGTTTAGATGGCGCTATTGAAATATGCCTAATCGTGACATTCGCCACTTTTATTTTAAAATCACGAGAATGATTTGTTGACAGTGAATGTTAAAAAACAATTGTGAAGGTTGTAATTGGATAATTTTTTGCGTTTTTAAGAATGGTCCAAATTAATAAGAGGGCAGAGAAACGCTACGATCTACTTTTTGGTATAATTACCATTATCTTCAGAAGAGATTGTTTAGCATTGGGTTGAAAAATCACCTGGTGGTTATGCATCCATCAGTGATGAATCTCGTGAAGGGAGTCCAAAATATTTTGTGCGTAAGATGGTTCAAGTAGATCGGCTATACAATGAGATAGAAAGTCTGGTAGCAGATCGCAGGGAATATTACTCATGAGTTTACATGACCAAAAAAGTTGATGTAAGCTCAAAAAATTAATAATGGGCCGAAAAAATCCGCAACAGATAAGGATAAATTATTCATTTGACCCTGAAACTACGCTACTATCCACTGTTTTTTCAAGATGAACAAAATTCGTTCGCTCATTTTGGTTAGGTTTTTTATTTCCATTGGCCATATCGCTACCATTAGAGTAATTTAGAGAATTGAAGAACTGTAAAAACTGAATGAAAAAACACCCTACATCGCAATATATCCGACCACGACATTGCTAGCTCATGTCAAAAAATTTAGACATTGTTAATTTTTAAACCACATTCTTGCAGAAATAATAAATTGTTCTCTATGCTGTTTTGCTTCTCCAACCAGATGCACAAACATCCATTCAAATTGTCATTAGTTTAAAGTAACTTTACAGATTTCTCTAGAACATTAATTACAATGTCGTTATTAAACCTTAATGGATTTTTGTGGATCTAGGTATATATCAAACAAAAACTACGTGGTTTGTGATCACCTCAAGAAGCTATCGATGTTTTCCATAACTTTGTATTTCATATTGAATCTAGAGTGGCAAAACTCTTAAAGAATTGTTGTGAACTCAGGTTAAAATAGGAGACCACTTTGAAAATCAGTAAAGCAGTTTGTTAGTCGAATAAATAAAGAGTTCACTTCCATTATGTAAAAACAAACAGGCGCTAAGATCTAACATATCTTCAGAAATACACGATTTAACAAGTAGTTTCTAATATTTGGTTAATTCCAATACACTTTACTATTTTAGATGTTATTTGCACATATGTATACAATATTCGTGCTATATACTATACGTCTATGAGCCGTTACTATTGCAAAACAATCGGTTGTTTGCAAAACATTTTATTATAGCATACAAATATTCAATTATAGTTTCGCTTGCTTATTTTTTCTAGGTCTACATTCTGAATGACATTCATTTCACTTTCGTCTTTGACAATGCAACTTCGATTAGAATTTATGTACCTAGTTCTTTGACGAGTCTATCAAGAAATCCACATTATTTGCATACAATGTCCGGTTGGTATGAGAATCGAAGAGTAAGAACCTCAAGCGACAATATAATCTAACAATCAAATACAAATATATATCTATGTTTATACCATGTAAATAATCACGCACTTTTTCCTTAAAGGGAAGCTTTAAATAATGCTGAAAAAAAATTGTTTTAGCCGTTCCTAGTCTATTCCGCTATTTTGTCTTCCTGTGACTGTTTCGACTTTGCCTTCCATCTTCTTAGTTAATTTCTGTCCCACTGTCGTTTAGTACCTCGCACCCAGTTCCCTCAGTTCTTATCCAATCAGCAAACACTCATTTTCTTACACACAAAAAGTGGGTTTTTTTTTAAGATAAAGAACACTAAAGTAATCTACTATCGGAATAACTAAATGTACACCACTCTCTATAAAATCCGTATAATATAATAATGGTCGAAATATTATTAAATAGTAACAAAATATTCAAAAAGAAAAGGGCAAGCCTAACTCCTACATAAAAGGCGAAGATTAAGTTGGAAGTTTAAGTATTGGTTGCACCATAATTGCAGTTAAAGTTAAGGTACATCTGTCACGCTGACTTTAACATTGACTGTGGAATGCGTTGTACCATCCTCTTTCTTGGCATAGTAGAAACAATAACCAGCGAAACTTGGGCGATTATAATTTACAAAGTTATAACGTCATCCAACCAAAGTCAAATGATAACTCATTATTATTTGCTTAACTGGTACTTTAACATGTTTGTTACTAACCTTAAAAGTTGCAAGTTTAAAAATAGTAACAAGTAATTACTATACGATTCCAGTGATTAAAGTTCGCTGATTACTACACATATACAGCGGTGTATCTCTTCAAGAACAATTGCATCGAATTTCATCATTCAAGGTCAAGACCCCGTGATCGTCACGTGTATGTCAACCGCTATGGGGATATATGTATAAACGTTTGGTTCAAACCATTGAGCTAATACTACTACGTAAATAGTAGTTCAATGGTTCAAACTACTGAAAGGCCAAGGCAAACTCGAGGTTCGAGGTCTCTATACGTCAGAACCTCTTTGGTAAAGTGATAACATGACCTGTGTCTCTTGCATCAATAATAATTAAATTTAATTTTATGCATTATTGATAGACCCTACCTGGTTGCTCACCTATGAGCTTTATTCACATAGGGCATGTCGCTCTTGCTCTTGATTTATATGCCTTATGCCTTAGTCATAACTGTGTTTTTCACTGATGGGTTGGATTAGTTGTGATGAAGGTGCAAATCCCGAACTGGCTTGCTATAGTATTCAATATAATTGGTGATAATGTTCTTCTATAGTAATAATTGCTTGCGTCTAATGTTTCTAGATTTCATACCTTGATACCTAATAATACAATTATAAAGTGAAGTAACCTAAATGAAGAGTGCTGACTCATAATGATTATACAACAAACTCAAATGTAGACCAGATAGTTTGTCACTGTGATTTTGTCATATTAGTGATAGAAGTATTTAAGTATTAAAAAAAGAGAGCACTAAAAAAGCATCACTAGATGGCGACTCTAGCAAAAGTTGATTTTTGGAGGAAACGAATGGACCAGAGATAGTCATTTCCGTTCTTTTTAATTAACTTATTAAAAAATTGAAATTTGCAAACTTTCAAACTTAGAAAGAAATACGAAAAAGTACAAATAGAATATGAGTTGTTTATGGAGTATTGAAAATTATTTAGTTTTTTCTACATTAAAGAAAATCGGAAGGGTTGTCATGGAGAAATCAAGAAAGTACCGTAGCGACATCTAGTTTTAACAATTCTGTTTCTCAGGTTAAATTATTTCTATAATTTATTATTTCTAGTACAGAAAATACTACTCATTATTATGTTTGACCAATTTCGCATACACAATGCTATACTGAAAAATATTTTTAATGAAAAATACCGAAAAAACCCACTCAGGGTGCCAGGGACCAAGAGTATTTTTTGGCCATTTTTAATTAAGAATACTACTCATTACTAAACGTTATACCTTATTTTGACTATGATTTTGTGGATAATGAGTAAATAGCCAATATGTACTGACCTTTCCCAAACTGGCTCATGAACAGCATTCAATTTTTAATGTCAACCATTTTCTTGCTTACTTCATATAGACAATATAGAAACATTCAATAAAATTATTTTGAAATTAAGTGAACCTTATCGCATGAGTATTTTGTAAATTTTATAACTGCACTTGCTCTTCCACACACAAGTTAAAAGCGACAACAAGGAAGATCAAATTTAAATTATATTCTAAGTCAACTGTATGAAGTATTATGAAAGTCTTAAGCACCGCAAATTACAGTAAGGGGACCTTGTACTGAAAAGTATTAGCAATACTTGGTATCACTAAGTTTTTGCAAGTCATCATGATTTGAGAATTGTATGGTCTTTTACTGGGTTGATGATATTTTGATGAGGAGTTATGTAATGCAACAGGCGTTCTACGAACGGGTCTATTATAGCTATAACGGCCATATTTGTATACTACCATCTGGTGACGGTCTACTGAAAATATACATTCTAATCAATATAAAGCAAAACCTACGTTTTAATCACGTTTATTTAATCTCCTGTATTCCCGTGGGAACTTCAAAATAAAATGTTCTTGACGAAAAATATACAATACTAGCTTTCGCCAGCGGCTTCGCCCACGTGGTCCCTAGGAAAATGTTTAGTGGGATAAAATTATCCTATTTTCTAAGTCAGCTAATACCCTATCTGTATAAAAACATCCGTCCAGTAGTTTCGGCGTGATTGACAGACAAACATCTAAACAAAGAAACTTTCACTTTTATAATATTAATAGAATATATATGTAGACAGCCATCGCATTTATTATATTTACAAAATTTTGCATTTACAATGTTATTTCAGTATTTATAAAAAAAAATCTTTATTATTTTTATGCATTTAGTGGAACTTTAGTTTTAATAACAGTAATAAGCCTACTGACCATGAGTATAGGCCGTTGCAGTAGTTAGTTGAATGTCAATATTTAACACATTTTTTTTTTTTTCATAAAACGTGAACATTATATTGGCCATGCTCTGACAATGTTTACGTGTGTTTAAACAAGTATGTTCGATATATTATCATACGGTCAGTTGCACACACGACCATTAAGGTTTAATGATGCTTTTAAGCTCAAATGTATTTTAAAAATATATTTTATATTTGTTCGCTTTAAACTAATAAAAAATTTAATGGACGTTTGTGCAACTGGCTGATAGTGCCAAATAAATAATTGATTGATATGTTGTGCAGGCGTGGCAGAAGCGGCAGCAGGCGGTGTGTGTGCGACACGCTTTCAAACATTACGGCTCCAAGAAGAGACCGAACCATGTGCTCAGTAACTTGAACATGACAGTATCCAAGGGAACAATGTGAGTATACATCTTCAAAAATTTGATAATATAACTCTTAAGACACATTTTTTAAATTATTTTCTGTATCCGTAGAGAGGACATAAGGCACGGACTTTATATACGTGTTTGCTTCTTTGATGTCCAATACCCTCTTCATACATACTCTCTGGGTTATATGACTTCTCATATCATCTGTTATAAAACGTTATCAATATGATCTTGAAGGATGTGTCCTGGCCTCTGGCATCGACATAAATATAATTAAAATGCGAAATAATTTTAATATTAAACATTAAACGGTTTTATTAAGCTTATCCTGCTTTTTTTTTCGTGGTGGGTCAAATTTAATAATTGAAATTTCATCCTCTTTCTGTCAACTGATTGATCTGAAATTTGGTATACGCCTTTGATTGTGGTGACAATACAATAACTTATGTACGTTCAATATTATTGTGAATCCAAGATGGCCGCCACTACAAGATATAACAGACATCTTATTTTTTTTAAATCCCATCAATATAGATATCAAACGAAAGGGCATGTTACGTAGAATACAGTTCATTATACAAAGTAACGTCAAATATTTATAATTATAGATTAAAATGTTAGTTGTAAAGTACCACACCACAAGATAATAACAACGAATTTACCTTTGCACACATTTTAACAGACGATTGTAAATATTGGACGCGCCCCACCATTTTATTTTATTTTAATCAATGCATAATATGTTTAAAATTTGTTTATTTCAAAACGTCGTCTTTTATTATAGGTATTTTACATTATTCTATAAATACATTGCATTATCGGAATTTTATGTGATCATAGATATCTCCACAAAATAAATAGTTTACGGGTTACTTTATTTTGAAAATATAACAATGTATAGATATTGGCACCCATGGCTGTATCCATTCATTTATTTTTTAGCTTTTAGTGCATTTATCTGCAACATTTTTCTGTTTACAATAAAATCGTTTAACTTAAAAAGTTTTTTAATTTTTTTTCAATAAAACAACTTACAGAGAATATTTTACTATGTATACCTTATATCGATGTCTTCCTTGATAATTTGTAATTGAAAGCAGGCTTGGCACACTGAGCAGTTTTAAAAATAATAACACAAAGATTGAAAAAAAAAATCTGAAAACAAAACTTATCTTAAAGCGGCTCTATTCTTTTAAAGTCGAACGAAGATTTAGCTGAATTTATTTTTGAAATGATGGTCGTGGTCCAGGGTAAGTTGAACGGTGAGTGGTCATACGAAGATACTTTCCGATTTCGCTTAGTAATATCGAGTTAGTAATTCATCGATTACTTTTCCTAACAGAAGTATACGGAAGTGGATTTTTATATACGCGCCTATGAGTTAGAAGCAACGTGTCGCCCACGTGGTGCACATGTAAAAGTTAACGATGCATTAAAACAAATGAACGACCGCTTATAATTAAATATTAATGACGAAGACCGCAATTCCTTCTTTAATAATTGCATGTGGTTTCAACCAAACATAACTCTGGCTGACTCTTAAGTAAAATATTTTAAGTAAGTAACTTTCTCTGATCATGCGATCTGCATTGCTTATATACTTGCATAATGTTACTTGTTTGATGTATTAACATCTACGAATTGTCTGATAGGTAATTTCCGTAAACAGCAAAATTCGAAAGAAACATAGCAGAAGGGCAGACGTGAGTTTGGTTTTACTTGTTTTCGAACAAGGCCTCGATTCTGTACATTTTTACGTAATACTCAATGGAGTCTCAACTACTTCCATTTCGTCATTGTTATACCTGAAGACCAATATTATTAGTGTAATGTCGTCCTCACAAATTAATGGTAAGGTCTCGTAAACATTACCCCTGCCTGGTCAACGTTTTGAAAGTATAAAAATGTTTATATTTTTTTATTATGTAATAATTTATTATGTAGGTACTTTTATGAGCTAAATTTTATGATAATCTTTTTAATTAAGAAATAATCAACTTTAAAAATGTATATTAATAAAAAAAACCGTCTGCGTGAAAAACTGAAAACTGTTTTTGACGCAGGTATTTGTTTTTTTAATAATAACTTTATTTATGTCCTTTTAGTTAGACAAATTATCAGGTTGGTTCAGAAAGTCACAGAACAAAGTTTTAAAACTTTTTTCAGTGTATTATCTTTATTTGTATTACGACAATAATAATCGTTATATACCTATTTGGAATCCTTTTTTGAGCCCTTTAATTTGATACCCATAAAAATATTTGAAAGAAAATAATATTAATTATATTGCTGTCACAAATTGGATTTTTTTAACGTTACATATTTAAAAACACTTGAGATACTAAGACAAATCTAACAATTATCTATATCCGTTCAGTGGATCCATTCATCCATTCAATATTACATACATACATACATACATACAAGATACGCGCGAAACAAATAACCCTTCATTTGCAGTCGGGTAAAAAGATAAGGCATTTCTAAATTTTAACAAGAAATATGCAATTTTCAGTGATTCTATGACTGTAGGTCTGTCATAATTGTCTATCATTGTAGCTGTTCTTTTTTTTTTCACACGTTAGTAGAGTTCTTTATCTCAAAGGAATGGTGATAATAACATTAATATCACGGCACGCAAAGTTCAATATCGGCTATAACAATGTCAATTACAATTAAAAAATATTACCACGGAAGACTGGAAAATAATGTGTGTGCGTCATCGTTAGGAGACCAACAAGGAAATGTATATTCATCGAGTACGGCGTTCCTTATCGAGTTAGAAATAAAGATGATAATGTGTGACGTACAATGGACTATTTGTGATGAGGTTAATAATCTTTGTTTATTGTGTGGCCATCGCTGGAGTGGTGCCAGGTGATCGGCTCCTGACGATGGCGCCGATAATGTGCCTGCCTTCTGACTAATGTCGCGTACGAATACTACCGCGGTAGGTGTTAGATTGAGGTAACAGCCTCGCTCAAAACACGAGGTGACCGCTAATAATAAAGGAAAAGTATTAATCTTGGATACATAAATTAATTATAACACGATTCCAACTAAATGAGCAGATACATTTAAATAAAATTATTGATATATATTTGAAAGTTTACTGTTAAACAACGGAAACATTATTGGGTCCTTTTTACATTTCCGTTCAAGTTATAATGAAGTATAAACATTACCTTCACATTAATGTAATATAAAACTTATTAGTTGTTTACTAGAGCACAGAAGTCTTTCAATTGAATAATCATTTACATTTTCAAGTAAACGTAGAATGGTTATACCTACAATGTTCATATTTTTTTTTTGTTGAAAATTGAAGTGAACAATGAGGACTTTACTACAGCTTGTGTTGACGTGACACAAATGTGTGCCGTACCAACGCTGATATTCTGACAGGGCCTTCATTGCCTACGGGAATCGAACGCGCGGCCAGCATTGGCTACAATTTACGGTGGAGTCGAGTCGCGGAAAAAAAGGCCAGTTGCAAATAAAATAATATTAATTGTTAAGACAACATAAGGCCGGTAGCATCGCAACGTTTCGCCTTGTTGCGAAAGTGAGTCGTCCTCGGCGCGGTGCGCTGGCGCAAGCCACAACCAGACCGTTGCGATCGAGTTCCTACGGCCGACGACGCCCAGCACGTGATCAACACACATACTATGCCCCTTTTTATACTACATTTATTAACATACTATTATGTCTACAATGTTTTATGTTTACTATGTTTTTTTCTTACACAGTCCGCCTTTTAGTTCAATATCTGAGAAGAGGGCTATTATTTTATGATTTTATAAATGTAATATTATATAAAACTTCCAAATCATTTCAATAATGTGTCAACAAACAATACTTTTTTTATATCTTTACTCTTATATCCTTACCTATTCAATACTTAATCAGTTTGCATGTACAAGTAAACATTCATTTATTGTTTCTTTTCATTGTAGATATGGCCTACTCGGCGCTTCAGGCTGCGGCAAAACAACACTTCTATCGTGCATAGTGGGCCGGCGGTCGCTCAACAGTGGTGAAATATGGGTCCTGGGGGGCAAGCCGGGGACCAAAGGTGAGCACTTGTGTATCACATAATAATAATATGATCACTTATACTAGTACAAGTATTAACAAGGGATAATTTTTTCGTAAATACATATATTGAAATTATGTGGTACTTGAAGGTCTACATGCTAAATTATTTTTACGGGGACTGCTGATATTGCAGGCCATCCCATACCTCCAGACAGGCAGTAATTTTATGTCCGAGAAGCTGCCAATCAGCCGGGCTCGTTTCGGCAAGCAACGGTAAATTTCGCTAGTTCACGAAGCGCTAGCGCTATTAGCTCGTGCAATACCAAGCTACACAAAAACATTTTTTCAGGATGCCCAAGTTGCAATACACATGTAGAATATTCATCAGTGATTGCGATATTTGTCGCCGTACCTATAGCAGTGAATACCAAAAAACCTTATTAGACTCCCGGAAACAGCATTTTTTTTCACAAAGAAGAAATATACCACTGCTGTGGGGTAAGTATTAAAATAATGACCATTTATGTTTTTATCGCAGGGTCTGGTGTACCTGGCAAACGTGTGGGCTACATGCCGCAGGAAATCGCCCTATATGGAGAGTTCACCATAAAAGAAACCATGATGTACTTCGGCTGGATATTTGGCATGGAGACCAGGGAGATTGCGGAGAGGCTGCGGTTTCTACTGGACTTCTTGGACTTACCCAGCGAGAACAGGATGGTTAAAAATCTTAGGTAAGCCTTCTAGAAAGATGTATGTAGAATGCATTAGCTGATAAGGGTATGAATCTATATAAACTATAATCTGGCAACTTGACATTATTTAAAGCAATTACCACTATAAAAGTGGTTCGCATGCCGATTTCAAGGGACGCATTTCTGGGGTCCCTGGTTTGGATTCCCAGTCGGGCCAGTGTAGAAAATAGGCTTTTCTGTATTGTCTCGGGTACCTTAACTTAGCCTTTGCTGTGGTATCTCATATACTCATCTTGGAATCTAAGCAATGTACTTATTTGATGTTATCTAATTTCAATGGCAGTAGAATGATGGAAAGCACGTACAATATAATGAAGCTCTGCAATATTTATTTATAGGCTAGCCAACAATTATTTACGAATGACAAATTGAACAAAACGCTTTGAGAAAGATAAGTTACAGAAATTTTAATGTAACTCTACATTTTTTACAACATCTTTACAATATACTTCTACTTAACATATATTAACTACATAAAAAAATATTCGAATTATTCAAAACTGGCTGGGGAGACTGCTTCCCATAACCGTATCAATGACTGTTTGCTTGCACTAAATATGCTCCGAAACTACTGGAAATATAATTTTATTTTCACAAAGGTAACATTGCAATGTACTACATCCAATGAAATGTTATTTTCCTACTTTTTAAAAGTAGAAAATTTATCGAACAGAGATTTTGAACGACAAGGTCATGTTAGGTTATTTAAAAACAATTAACATAGAAATATATATTTTCTAAGGAAGGAAATATCAAATGGTCGAGTTTTTCTTAGAATTATCTTAATTATATTGTTAATCTCTTGTGTTATTATTGTAACTACTCAGTATTCACGTGCACACGAGTTATTTATTAGATGATATAATTATTTGACAAACCACGTGTGTTTGTTATGTTACAATAACATGTCTATGAAGTTTCGATGGAAAACTTGTTAAATTTACGAAAACAGGCTTTAACGATTATAAATCTAAAAATATGACTCGGAATATTGTCAAATTTTAGGTTAAACTGGATAGCAGATACTTTATCTATTGTGATTCGACATTTTGATAAATTTCATCCACTAAAATAATATTATTGTTTTTTTTTAACTTAAACTCAAAATAACCAAAGTAAAGCTTAGACTAACTTAAGTATAAAATTATGGAATACCTATATTTCAAGGTTTTACTTTTACTTATTTGCAAAATGATGAAGAAATTTCCGGTCCGGGTGGGCTAAGGAAACCTTGATTAAAATTAGTTGTAGATAAAATTAACTTTATAACCATTTTAATAATTAATTGAACTTTTTTACGGTAATTCATTTTCATCTTGTTTTAAAGAATTATTAAAATAGCAAGAAAATACATCGTCTCGTCGTAAATGACCGGTACTATCGCTCGTCTATCTCGTCTCGATAGTAAACGATCAAATCTTTCCTTTTTATAATATTAGTATAGAATGACTACATTATGTATGCTAGTGCTACGTTATGTCTGTACAAATTCGGGATAAGCGACTAGTATGTAAATACATATAATTTTATGATGATATGTTGTTTGTTCAAGCAGCACCGCTAATTCTTTCGCCAGCGCTTAGTATTAATGTTTGCTTCAACAATTATCGGGTACAGTCACACGCAAATAACGTAAAACATTTTATTGTGAGACGTAAATACATCTCACGAACATAAACTACATTTACTTGGGCTCCCTATTAAATTTTTCAATGACAAAAATATCATAAATTTTCACGATGGAGGGTAAATATAATAGTATATAATATAATATAAAAGTGTACATATTTTTATATTATGAACCCCTGCTCGTTCAACTACTTCATAAACAGTGTTTCAATAATTTTAAAGATAAGACTTTTAACTGTTCATATGACTGCATATGGTATATATTCGATTAGAAAAGTTCGATGTAAATCGAGTATAATTTGTTAGTTTGATAATTTTCCGCTTAGTGGGAGAGAGCAATAAGTGACACGAAAATTAGCATATCCACATTATGGCACAGGACACGGGCCTGCTATTTATTTAACATACAAGATAGCGCGTAATGCAAATAATAATACCTGACAATGCGATGCATAAGGAAACTATAAATATTATTTACATACAGCTAACATATCTGAGAGATACTTCCTAAGAAAATAATAACATAGGTACATATATATTTTTACGACTCTACGAAGGATATTTTGCGTTAGCATTGAACATTTCAATATTTTTTAATTTACTTAACATAATTACATTGACGCTATTTCATTAATCGTTTTTTGTCGCAAAAACATCATATGAAATTTAATGAAATTACCTACTCACACAACAAACGCGAAGTAACAAATTATTTTCTAGAAATACTGTTTTTTTTATTCGTGTCTCACCAGCCAAGCCAGCGGTAGTCATGACAAATTACAAAATAACGCTTTATGAAAGTATGCCTATAATTACTTAGATTCGGTGGAATCAATATTGCGAATAAATAATATTAATAACTTTAGTTGCACATTTAGTAATTCTATAGATTAAATTAGGGCAGTGTCTTTTTACGATCGAAATTTTGAAAACGCTCGTCGTTCCATTCGGTCGTCGTGAAGGCATTGTTCCTTGGAACCCAGGGTCGGTTCACAAGCTAGTGACGTCTCTCATGTTACCAGCGTCCATGGACTATGAACTTATTGACGGTTGTTTTCCTCGCCATATTATAATAGTTTAACTTACATTATTGTTTTGCGATAGGTATTGTTGACTAGTAGATGCAAAAAAATATCACTAACATGAAGATAAAACGAAACCTCATGTTATTGGCCACTTATGATTTACAAAGATTAATTTTCATAAATACATTATTTTATGATAAACACGTTATTAATAGATAGCTCACACTCACAAAAAAACTGAAGAGAATAAAGCAGCCCTTGCTGAGAGCTTTTTTCTCAGTAGATTTCGTAGTTTCGACTTTCAAAAATGTTTGTGATAGCCTAGACTGGACAAATGATGTGGATGTGATTTTATTTCAAAATCATGGAATAAAAAAATTATAAATACAATATTTTGTACTTAGATTAAGTAAATTCGTAAATCTACGGTGGATGGCTTTATAGTGGGAAAAACGGGAAGAAACTTAGCAAGACTGATTTATTCTTTAAGCAATTAGTTATCATGAACTCACGAGTCTTCCACAAGAAGTTAGTTTTTATTTAGCATAATATAAAGTAGTAGACAGACGCTTTCGAATTCAGTAGCAGATAATTAATCTGCTACTAGTTAATTTAAAAGCTCAAGAATATTAATAAATTAAATAATGTTAACGTTAATTTGAACCAAAACAAACAATTACACGGAGGTTATTCAGTTAACGACCAGTCACTATTCACAAATGAGCAAGTCTTTCAGATGTTGATTACCTTAACTAATTAACAAAAGCGCTTAAAGCACATTAGTCACAGACATTGTTGGAGCATTTAAACTTTATGATGCTACTATTGAAAACTTCATCTGGACTCCGTACTCTACATTCATTTTAAAATCAAAAATGGAGAGAAAAATCATTTTTCGTTATCTCAAATACTACAATTTTCCAATATTTAATTACCTGAAGCCCTTATACGAATATTAATCAAATAAAAAACTTATAACTACCGTATTTCAAGGATAATAATGTTTTAAAGAGTCTACAGTTTTAAAGTAATCGTTAGCTAAAAATTTAAAAAACGCATACAGAGATTATATAAGTACACAATATATAAACTAATACATTTTATTTCATCATCTATACTTCTATACCTACTAATTATAAAACTGAATAGTTTGTTTGTTTGTCAGTTGAACGTGCTAATCTCAGAAACTTTCAGTTTAGGTTCGAATTAATATTTTTTGTGGTCTGTTTATTGAGGAAGGCTACAAGGATATATAACATCATGAGTAGAGCAGCAATGACAAATTTCACACAAATGGGAAACCACATGGACGAAGCTGTTGCCGGAATTTTAGTGTGTAATATGTAATTATAAAACATTACATAGATCACATTGAATTTCGTTACCAAAACATACGGATACTGAGATTGGGTAAAGTGAAGGTTCCCTGTTTCAATTCTATCCATAGGGAATGCCTGTGCCCCAGCAGTGGAGAGATTAATAGACTGGTGATGATTGCAATTTGTTCGATAACATGTGATCAACTAAAACATAAGAAATGTATATGCAAATAAATATTTTCTGTTGCTATCACAGTTTACTTTTTGTTGAGTAATAATGTGTGACGCAATTCATAAGAAAACCCGACCAGTGAGCATATTGACTTTTATAATTATATACAGAACGAAACTTATATACAGAAATATCGTGTAACTTTAAAATTATATAGATACTAACATGATAATTGTAAAAGCATGTTTGTTGTTCATGCAAAGAGTATAGAATGCTAGCTTTCTGCCAGCGGCTTCTCCGGCCTAGTCCTGTATTATGTATATACATAATCCTTTCTCTTGAATCCGTCTACCTGTTGTTGAAAACCGCTTTAAAATGCATTGTATAGTTTAAAAGAGTTTACAGACTTTGTTTTATACTAAGGAAATATTGTATAGTGCTTTAGAGCTTGGCCCTGTTTAACTCGTAAAAGTCGTCTCAAGATTTATATGAAGGCGAGATGCTGGCAACCTTTCGGTACTTGACGCGCCACGTGATGATGTTCAGTGCACCATTAAGTGGCATTGAACGATCTTGCCAAACGTGAATTACATGTTGTAATTATATGTCATATAGGTACACTGTTCAATTCTTAAAGAAAAGTATTAATAATACTAGCTATTTTCCCTCGACGTCGCCCGCCTAAATTATAATCCATGTCGTGTATGTATGATGTAGCTTCAGAGCCCAGTAGTTTCAGAGACTTTCAATGAAAACCAAAAATCGGTGCATGTTTAGTTTACCTTTGATTATGTTAAAATTGAACTTAGATGTTGGGTTTACCTAAAGTTAACTAAAAATACTGTAACTGTTAGGTTAACAAAAGGATAAAATAATATTGATATAATAAAACCTAAGAGTTTCTTACCAGTCGGACATATATAGATAAAAATCAAATTATTTAACACATTATCCCGCGGTCCCTATGACACTGCCGGTAACACCGGGGCGCACAATTAGTTTAGATAAAACGACAATAAAAATTCGTTTAAGGAATATTTCAAACCAAGTGATCAATTATTATCACAGTTTTTTGAGCCCAACATGACCAAGCATAATTTTTAAATTGTAACGACTTGACGTAATTAAACGGTATTCAGTGAAAGTATTACGATATAAACAAAGTCGCGTGTCGAAGCTTTATCGCGGCGGGAGGAGTGAAAGTACGGGTGATGTAAAGTGACGTAACAATACATGATCCGGCACGTGCCTATGAAATATCATATTTGTGAATACGTATGCGTGTACCGTTATTATGTAGAGTCACTTACTCACATATTTGGTGCCTACGGTTCAGGTGAACATATACCGTCTTATTATAAAACGAGGACTAAAGTTCTTCTTGCTACTTTGCGTCAACCGCAATTCTACCAACTTTACGTAGGAGACCAGGGGGCCAATTCTACTAAATCAATTTTGTTTAAATCGAATCAAAAACAAATCGAAACCGAACGAAACTACAGTTTTTAATGGTATGTCACTTAATAGAATAGAAAAACCATTAAAAACTGTATTTTCGTTCGGTTTCGATCCGTTTTCGATTCGATTTAAACAAAATTTATTTAGTACAATTGGCTCCCAGTACACGATCTAAATCAAATCAACCAAATAATTTTGAATTACCAATGTTTTTCCACATGGTGGTGTACCAGCATAACACGATAAAAGTACCACATGGCTCAAACCATTGGCCGCCTAAAGTAGAATTGAATGACATAACAGAAAACGTCAAATTAAGACGCATTTACTATTTTGGTCGGATAATGGTTTAAACCTGATGCTAAAGTTAGTCCTTGTAAATCATAAATTCGAAATATTTACTGGATTTTGAATATAAGTTTTAACAAAACTTTTTTTATTGTATTACATTGAAAAAAAAGTAACTTGTTATAGAAAAATACCTACAAACTTCAACCTATCAATTGACAAAGACTGTCGAATTCACTCAGTATATTATTAAAAATCAAATAGGATAGTTAATGCTAAAATCAAAAATGATTATATTAGCTCAATTAAAAATAAATCTTGTGGCCTACAAAAGTAAATAATAAATTGTTACTAGTATCACCCAGCCATGTTCTACTAAAGCTGTTACAAGAGGAACTTTGGAAAATGTGTAGAACGTAAAAAGAAACATATATCAAAATCTAACATTTATGTAGACAGAAGCCAATGAAAGCTCCTCTCATAAATAATGACCTGTTATAGGCACAATATATTAAATCAGCATTATGCCACATTTAGATAATTTTTATTTGCTCTCGATAGTTCCAAAGTGATAAAGAATGGAATTCCCCGACTGCTCTATATATTATGTTAATTCAACAAATATGACATAATGTATGAATGTTCGTTGCAGTGGTGGTCAACAGCGACGTGTGTCGTTCGCGGTGGCCCTGATGCACGACCCTGAGCTGCTGATCCTGGACGAGCCGACCGTCGGGGTGGATCCCCTACTGCGGCAGTCCATCTGGATGCACCTGGTCCGCATCACCAGCTCCGGTGATAAGACCGTCATCATCACCACCCATTACATCGAGGAGGCGCGGCAGGCGCATTGCGTGAGTAATCCTTTTCCGCCTTTTTTATTGCATTAGGAGCTTATCTTGAATGTTCAATAATTTCAACGATTGAGCCGATTTAAACCGATTCCAAATATGCAAACTCAATATAGAAAAAAATGTCGCTTGGATCAATTGCCTTGTCTTTCAGAGTATGGTCGATTATTGTCTTGCGTTTTTGAAGAATCTGATTTGCGAGAAATGCTATCATTCGACTAATGTGAGAATATATAATTTATTCTCAGAATACCTCTCATGTTTCCTATTTGTTGATTTTAACGTATTTTCATTGTCGTGATTTACGAGGAATGTTGCTAGCCCCAGATGACCTCACGTGGGTGTAGACCTAGAGCTAGCATAAAAATGATACATATATAAAAATATACTAAATGCGTGTTTTACAACCTCCATAACAACTTGTTTAGAATAACAATAGCAATTCGAATAATATGCCAAAAACTATTTGCTATCGACGAGAAGCGGCAAGTTGGTTGTTATAAAGCAATAACTCCAAGGTCGGTTTATTACCAACAAATATATTATCACACGCCCCCTTGTTTAGTATTTCACGTCACCTCATAAATAAAATTCGTGGTTTAGCTAGTGGCCTCAACTGACAACTTAAAATGGAGTAAGCGAATAGGCCTGCTGGACTCTTTGGATTTGGATCTTGATATTAATTTAATAATTACTATTAAAACAATTCACAAAGCAACTACTTTGTAAGCATTAGTCACCATGAAAGTGAAATTCAATGAGTGACTTCATTTAAATTAATCAAATATTAATAAAAAATGAGTTATAGAATACCAAATACAACCAACAATATATATCGGTTCTCGTCAGAAGTTGTCATAGTTACAGAATAAGAGAGCAGTTTACCTACTAAATACTCGACTAGATAACCTCCTAAATACGTAATTCTCTATATTAAGCAACTTCTGTAGTGATTTTAGTGTCGATATTGAGCTTACAATAATAATAATCTGAAACAATGAAACACACAACACAAGTAAATTAATATCCATAATTCACGTACAATTTATATCGTTTTATTTACATTACATATTCATAATTGGTAACGTTAGATTTATTATTAATATTAAGTGAAATTTTTATTGTAATTAGTTAAACAATAAACTAAACAATTTTAGTTGATAGCGAGCGCGCTGTGACTAGGACTATTTATATTATAACTCACGTGTATTAAATTGACTGGTATTAAAGAAGCGGCCTCTAACTTGACGTTATTTACGGAAACTGGCATGAGACATCCACTGTTGAAACTAAAGATCACACGTTGTAATAACCTTTGTCAATAGAATATAGCGAGAATCAGTAATGATAATCGTGGCAAATTTTGTTAAGCCCCTCCCTAAACTAAACTTGTAATATTTCTAATAATAACAAATAGTCCTGTGTACTGTAATATATTAAATTTATTTATATTATTTTAGGTTCCGAATTGCCATACCATACCATATTGAAAAACAAAATAACAATCTAAAAAGTGAAATATAAATATAATAAGTATGTACTTATGAATCTCAAAGACTGTAACGCAGACCAAAGACGTATATGTTCAACTTATGTAGCCAAAACGTTTTAATATATTGTGTAAGCAAGCTTAAAAACGTTACGTTATCGCTTAGTACAATAATAAAAATTTAAGAAAAACATGAAAATTATCACAAGATCCAGTGGCGTAACTATGCTGTGCGAAGCCCGTGGCCAATTGTAGTTAATGTTGTAAAATGTTTGGATGATCCTATTCTCACGGCCCTCACTGACTATGGGGCCCCCTTCCGGCTTAAGGCCGTAGTTGCGATGCGAGGCAACCGTTGGCTAATTAAAACATAAAATCATAGTTCATGTTTGTCTTCAGATCGGTCTAATGAGGAGCGGTAAACTGCTGGCGGAGGAGTCACCTCAAGCACTGCTAACGATGTACAGCTGCATTTCTTTAGAAGACGTGTTCCTCAAGCTGTCCAGGAAACAAGGTAACGAAACAAAGTCTTTAAAATAAATTAGAAAAATCAACTCTAATAATTTATAGTATGTATAATGTATGTTTTAAACAGGATCGAAAAAACTTGTTAGTTTTATTATCCAAAGTATGTTTGTTAACCATAACCAGAATGTTTCTTTGAGGCTCTATATTAGGACCAGTTATGTGTTTGATTTATTTCTGCGATGTTGTTAATCAGATACTTACTCGAAGAACGTACTTGTGCTTGTTTACACTCTACATTTCCAAATCTAAAATTTTGTTTTTTTTCTATGTTAGTTTTAGAAGGTTAATTTATTTACGAACCAGCGCTAGAAACCATTTAGGCTTCGAATGTTATTCAATATTTGAAAGATTCTTTAAAAAAAACCATCACAGCTGAACGACAAAAAATTTTTACTGTTGTAAATACCGATGAAGGACCTTCGTACGTCCCCTAGCGGACACCGACAGTACAGATTTCGGCCGACAACCCGCGGCCGCCACTGACCGGTCGGACGAGTTTCGCAATTGTCGACCGACTCGACCACTCCGGTAAACGCGCCAGTGTTACGTCACTAGTGGCCGACATTGCTAAACATTGTTTGTTTTAAACTTTTCATCGATATATTGTGATTGTCTAGTGAACAGTGTTCCATCTCTCTATATATAATGCAAAATTCATTCATTTTGTTCTTATGTTTCTGAATCATGACAGCTAACTAGTGAATAATCAGCAACAACACAGTCCATACTTGAAAAGTTCACCCTTAAAAGGAAAAATAAATCATAAATACCAATGCTCTTATTATTGTAATTTAGTCTTTATATCTGAATAGCTTAATATAAAAAAAATATATATGAACCAAACAAATTATTGTGTTACAAAATAACTTATTCCAAAAAATAGTACTAGGTTTTTAAAATGTTCCTTGCCTAATTCGATAAAAATCGAAAGGGCTGGTCCGTTCTTTACCAGTCCTGTTATGATATAGAATCTGTTTATATATTAATTTATGTTTTTATAATTATTTATTCGTAAGTCCCAGCGTTGTTTTATTGCGCGTCCGTTGTATGTACCGTGGAAGGTGTCCCGATCGCTCGGCTGGTTCTTGACTGTAATGGACCATCTACAAGAGACTAGTAGCCGAGTCAGTCCAGTGAACCAGGCCAGTATTGATCCCCTGTAAATGGAGATAAATCCACAAGTCAGTCCAATGAAACACTTGTAGTGTGGATACCAAAAGTTGCCTCAGAAAATGTTCAAAAACATGTTAATTTTACTGGATTGACTCGACTGCTGTCGTCGTGTAAATGGTCCCTTATTTACAGTAAACATTATGGCGGGTAAACAGTCGCGCGCATCTCCGGCCTTGCATTGTGTGGCGCAATTTGAAGCACGCCACCACCACGTCTTACTCGCCATGGCTCTTGCGTATTAGTAATCGGCATTCGTAATAATCTACGCTCTTATGGATTCCGTTAAACATTTAATCAATTTATTGTCAATATTCAGGAGATTAAGTTGTGTTATGTAGTGAAGTGTCTAAGACATCGTTTTGAAATATTTACTATACTATAACAGATGGCAATGCAAACTTTTCTTTTACTCCAGTTTCCAAAAATTTGTTTCGCCGCCTTCTTAGATGATAATAATAATAAAAATCATTTATTTGCCCAAAACACGGCATAACAGCATGCAAATATATTTATACATGAAAATGGTCAACTTCAAAATTAAATTGCAACACATACATTAATTGTAAACTGATACAGTGTTATTGAAAGTCATAATTGCAAGTAATGTCAAGGTTTATATTTATTATAAAAAGAATTAATGACATAAAACGTATTGTCACTTAGCCACTTGTATAGTTTATTCTGAACATATTAATATTCAAAATATATTATTTAAAATGTAAACAAATGGTAGATTTCTTTTCTTACTTTTCAAATTAATCATATAAATTATCTCAAAAGAGTATAATTGTTTACGTGTATGATGGCGTGCTTAGCGCAATGGTAGTGAGTTGATCATACAATTTTTTTGTTTTGTAATTTACAATATTTTTCTATTATATCTTGCTATTGAACTTTGTACAGAAATCTCTTTATACCTAATGTTCTCTGGCGAACACTTATTTATTCATTTTAAATAATTTTAATTTCTTCAAGTCATGCCTTAGGAGTAGGTATTTGTTAACACGTCTACAGCGAATAACACAACAAAAGTAACAATGTTAGATTTAAATACGTGTTTGCTGCGTATATTACGTGACCTTTAACTACCCGGGACCCGCTTTTAGTTTTAATCTAAGATTTTAACTAAGTTTATGGCGTCGATAAATGTGATCAAATAAAAGATTTATAACAATACTTAAAAGGAAAAATACTGATTGTTAGTTTATATACGTTAAGTTTTGAGACTCATCTGTATCTTGTTGTAAGACAATGTTTTTCTATCGTTATTAATTTATTTATTTATTTGCGTTAATGATTGGTTGGCAATATTATATTCCTATTAATTTTAAAGCTACAACCCTTTTTTCCGACACAGCAAAATGTTTTTCTCGGGTCTTTAATCTTAGCTGGTTCTTTGTTGTTGCTTAATTTGTTTCTAGGATATTCAGGATAAAATTAAGATAACGAGTCAAACCTAACAGCAACTGTTTTTATATAAGTAAAGACGACAAAACGTTTCTCCTGTTCTTCGAGAGACTTCCTTACTGCCTTCCAGCTTTGCTGTTCAAACTGTAACGGTACCCCCCTCTCTCTAAATATCTTTTCACTTTATTAATATTTTGATATAAAATATTAATAAATAATAAATTCTATGCGCGGTCTAACAAGACCTTCTAATAAAAATATTTGTATTGGCAGTGATTGTCTAATAGGACCCACGTTGTGTTGTATGTAGTAACCCTGGTTCTTTTTTGTAGGCGATTGTTAGCAGTAAGAGAATATGTTATTGAGGGCATGTAAAAGAATTACCTACCTACTAAATAAATTCGATTAACCTAAAACTAGTAAGTCCCTAAGTACCTTGTGAAGTATAGAACTATAGGATTTTAGTAAGAGAAAGTAATGACACTTGAGCATAATAACACTGGTTACATTACATTATAATAGGAATGTTGTATTTAACATAGAAATGAAATATTTAATCATAAAAGGTCAAATGAAAGGATGGAAGGAATAAGGTATTAGGACTAAGATTAGAAAGTAAAAGTATAATTAAATCCAATGAGAAGGATGTTGTGAAAATATATACACATTATTTGTGTTGAAGGTGCTTTCAGGCCCCGACCACGCCCTCAGCTTGAGACCCACCATCACGGCCCCTTAACCAAAGAAAGAAATGGTAAGGAGTTAGGAGGAGTCAACCCAGCACTAAACTCATAATAAAATTAATTATAGACGTTACATTTACATCCAATGTAACTAGCATGATTCATTATGGTGTATGATCGGGCACACATTCATTGTTCACAGTAGGGTTGTAGACACCATGAAGGCCTTGGCCAAACATAGTAAAATGCGAAACGACACACACAGCAACCGGGGAACTACACAGGAACTCAACTGGTCCTCCACCCAATGTAGATCGCTACAGGGCTTCAAGGGAGCAAGTCTACCGCCATGCATAGACGCCGATATACTGAGTGGAAATAAGTCCCTAATGGCATAATGGTAAGCCAGTATAACTGACGACCGCCATCCTAATAATATATGAGCCGACTGTCGACCAACAAACGGAGCCGACCATAACCCACATGTATCAGCAGCCAAACTGGAGGCATTTGTTATTTCAATATAAATCATAATTATAAGAATTACCATTGTTATCGAACTAGGCAACTCAGGAAAGGTAGTGGTGTTTTGTAGGGTGACATATGTCATGACCTACGATGAATATTTGTAGAGTTTGCAGTATTTAGCTCGCCAGCTGAAGTACTTGTAAATATTTATGCATTGTGCATATAACTTATTAAGTATGCTGTTATATGTTCAGCAGAAGTCTCTCATATAATGAGGAATTTATCATTATTTGTAATTTTTTGTTTGGTTATCTAACCAAAATATAGAAATGTTTGTTATCGTTACCAGCATTATTAAGCTAGGCAACACAATAAGGTAGCTTAATAGTGTAGGACAGACATGCGTCATGGCCTATGTTGGACATTTATAAGATTGCAGTATTTTGCTCGCCAGCATATTGAATCATGAAGATTTATGCATTGCGCATATAATTTATTTATTAAGCTGTATAAATATTCAGCTGTTATAAGTCTCTCATAAAATTAGGAATTTATGGTTATTATTATTTATTAAAATGTTGTATGGTAAGTTAACCATATTTCTTTTAGTGGAGAAAATATATAATTTCTGAAATGTCTCCAGTGTTATTAAAGTAGCCAACTGAAGAAACATAGAGTAATGTAAGTAAGACAGACACAAGTCATGACCTATATTCAACATGTATTTGAGAATTATCTCAACTAATATATCTGTTCTATGCATATAGTTTATGAAATAAGCCGTCGTATGTTCGGCTAAAGTCTCTCCCATAATAAGGGCTGTTATATTTATTTAGATATAAAATCTTGCATAATGTGTACGTAAACTATGCACTGCACAATAATAATATTATTAGACCTACTCCGCTTTATCCTGTTTGTCGTTAATTCTCACCATTTAGGTATCGTTAGCTATCCCTTAAATATAACCTTAATATCGTATACAGTATTTAAATGTATACCACTCATATTGGCCATCTATAAGTCGTTAATACAGTCTAATATATCTTTAACTTGCCTTTATTACTTTACTCTGAACATTGATGTTACTTTTTAATATTACAAAATACAATATAACCTAGCTATTCTAATTTATTCCCAACAACCTAATGGGACCCTAGCGTACCTAACACCCACTTACTTGCGGTTCAAGACGGAGGCCTTGAACCCGAGTCCAACAGAGGATTATAATTCCTATTTTACCCTAAATGTAGAGTTTTCAACCGCACTAACTCTACCATTGACAAATTCTAATAGACACACTGACTCTAATTATCATAAAACACTGACTTTAATAAACCCGCGTCGAATTGACTCATACTTAAGGTTTAATAAGAATTTTTATAATTCGTAATGTAACCTACGTATATATTCGTACCGCACTAACATATATTTAGGGATTCGCCCTCCTTCTAAGCAATTCAGACCTGCTTATCAAATCTCGCGACGCACTGATTTGATTGCATGACTATGACAACTCTAAGAATCGCATCAACTATTAAACTCCCCGAACGCTCGCAACGAACCGACAGAATCCCGAGTTACGATCCTCTTCTCGGCCTCCCAGACTCTCCCAGACTGTCCCTCAACTTCCTTTTTCACCTCTTTTAAAACATCTGCTACCCCCGTAACATTTCTCACACCACGCCTATTTCTATTATCTTATGGTAACTATCCCAATTGACATACAAAATTATTCCTTAAGACTAAACCAATATGAACACTAATACGAATTGCTTCCTTGTTCATCCCCTTTGCGTGTACTAGAATAAGGCTCCACCCATGCGTAAGCGCAACGCCCACTGATATCCCAAATTCACAAATGTTTAGCGCTTAATATTGATCATTATACCTTATCTCCCTGCTATTAGGGGTCATTTTGAAACAATAATACTTTATTATTAATTATCTAAAATACCCTAGCATCTGGAAGCAATAGTTTTGACCTTTTGTCTTTATTGTTATTTTTTTGTATAAAATAGCTATATTGTCCTAAGGGACCAGGACACAATATCTGTCATCATATTTTAACCTTTTAAATGGCAAAATGATGTCCGACTTTAAATAGTTTTATTTTGGTCAAGAGCACACAAATTTCTACGAATATTTCTTTAAGAAAAGCAAGATTAATGTTACTTTATTGTCTTTCGGCCTTTCTGTTGAATTTAAGACATTGCAGGCAACCAATAAATCAAGGAGGTATTTTAATACCTTCACTTATTTCTTCATAAAACCAATTCTTTACAGAACATTCCACTGATTTAAGTTGTCAAGCGTCCCACGCCTGCACCCTCAACATGTGTCTCAACATTGTAGTAATTTAAGGCAATCAGTACTACCTGCCCTCGATGACCCTATGTCAAACCCTGGCCCGAGCAATCACAAAAATTAAAATAATGATTTCTTCTAAGAACACATTTTGAAACACCATAACCCACTTGATAATTCTCACCCTTACATGTCACTTATAATCAAATATATTGCTAATTTTGTTAGTTTCTAAGTGTCCGTTTCTTCTAAAACCCCACTTTAAAATCCATAATTTACTTGACATGACAGGCTTTTTAGCTCCAAATGTTACCTATTCTAAAATGTGTTATTTATCCAAGTCAATTTCTACATGTAACGAAATATTTGAAGTAGTGATTCTTTCCCGGAATCCACCTTTAAAATCCCATCCAGCACGACAATTTATTAGGCTAAAATTATTAATAAATAATCATGCATTTTACTTTATTTATTGAATTATTGTGGTGTGTTCCGTCACAAAACGTAAAATTACTTATTCAGCGCTGTGTTTGACGCTGTATTTTGCACAGCTGGTGTAGTAATAATAAAAGTATTTATATACCTACGTAATTATTATAACTATTATGTTTTCCATCTCTCGTAGCTGGCCAAGGCAATAATGTGGTGGAACTAAACGTGTCCGGTGGTAGTCTCGGCCTGAACAAGATGTCCAAGCGCGAGGAGGCGCCGTACGCCGCCGAGGACGAGCACGTGGTCGGGCTCAACTTCCAGGCCATCAACCAGAGCAAGGAGGTTCTGATCGTAGAGAACGGTGTCGGATCCAACGGGGATGTGAGTTCAATGACAAATATTCATAATATACTTTACAAATTTCTTAGAGCTTCAGCTGTATAGTAAACCCTATTTCAACCAAGCTATCAGAACACCAAACTAGCCTGCTTACCAAATATAGAAATGTTTATTTTAACTTTTACTACTATACCTCTATGTCTGTGTCTGAGTAAGTCTAACTCTATGTCTGGGTACTGCTCATAAAGCTGCAAAGGTAATGAATATATATAACATTGAAATATATATCCAGTTCCTAACATTAGTACAACTTGTATAGGTTTTGTACCATTCCCATCCCTCCCTCGAGTGACGAGTCGAGTTAAAACTAGAAATGGGTTGTCATCGACTCACAAGAAATGAGTAGGGGCCTATGTTTTAAAGATAAACATGGCGTGCTTGTTGCCTTTTTTAATCACTCGGTGAGTCTAAGAACGCTACTTTTACTTTTTCTCTGACGGCTAGTGCAACAAACTAGTATTTATTTACTGAATTGCGTATACTATAGTATACTATAATAGTCGATAACAAGTGCCTTCAACGTTGGGTATATATACAGAAATTACTGGTGTTATACCTACCAATCATCAAATGCGGCTGCAGGATTTTGTAAATGTTAATATTATGACTAATGAATGGTGTTTCGTCACCTTTAACAGTGCATTTGCTGTCTGAAAGCTTACTACGAACCCCTAAATACTACTCAGATGCTGCTCTTAAATTACCGATTAAATTTTAAAGTCAGATCTTAATCTTTGATATCCGCGAAGACCCTTGCAACATCGTTAAAGTTGGTTGGTTGGTATGTTTGGGACCTCTTATTTTGTACTGACCTTGTAAACTTGCAAGGTAAATAACACGTTAATTTTACTCAATATCAGCTCCCTGGCAAGATGACGGAGGCTGTGACGAATGAGTGCAAAGACTGTGGAGACTGTTTTAACGTGAGTAACATATTTTTTTACTTAAGAGAGTGCTTGAGATAAATCGCTTATATAAAATTCATTTCGTCTTAAAAATAAAATAGAACACCTCGGATCTCTATTAACGTACACTTAAAAATTAAAACTATTTTTGTAAACGCATTAATAAAATACGAAGGCACATAACAGTAAATTGTACTAGACTACGTTCATTATTGAAACTTACCACAAAATCTTTTCATTTTTGGTGGGCGCAAAAGTAATACTTTCATATTAATAGTAGAATAAAGATAGGTACATTTTTGAGAATATCTTTAAAAATTTCAGCTGACGTCCCGCGGGAAGATAAAAGCACTGATCCAGAAGAACTTCCTGCGGATGTGGCGCAACATCGGCGTGATGCTGTTCATCTTCGTGCTGCCCGTCATGCAGGTCATTCTGTTCTGTTTGGCCATCGGCAGGGATCCGACTGCTCTGAAACTGGTTAGTGACCGAAACTATCTTCATGCTAGGTGTACGTAACGTAGATGATTTTTACAGATTTTGTTGAAAAATGTCATAGAGATAAAAATGAAGAAAGGATTTCCTTTTCAATTCTAGTGCTCGCGTAGATTAAAGTAGTACCTAAAATAATTGGGTCGTATATATAGGCAGTTTCATATTATTTTGATTTAGCATCGTTCACACTTAACACGTCACCGTTTAAGATTAATCGAGCGTTAATTGTATTCTTTCTAAAGCTCCTCACTGAATAATCATAAGATGTCGTTTATCCGTGCGTCGGCAGGCCATAGTGAACGAGGACGCGCGTCTGATAGACGGCGAGTGCCGGTTCAACTCGTCGTGCTCGATGAAGAACCTGTCGTGCCGGTACCTGAGCTTCCTGACGGAGCACACGCACCAGATCCAGTACGCCAACCTCAGCGCTGCGCAGCGCGCCGTGCGCGAGGGCGACGCCTGGGGCGTGCTCTACTTCAACGAGAACTACACCGACTCGCTCGTCGCCAGGCTCGCGCTCGGTCAGTATAGGCCACGGGTTACTCGCAGGGTGGCTGCTTCACGAGGCACATGAGGGAAATGGGCCATAGCCCACGATGCAGTCCATGAGGAGATCAATGGGTATTAACGACTGCAGATACAACTGGGACCGATGACTTACCTAAGCGTGCAATCCGAAGGACGGAGTAGTTCGAGATAGCAAATTTTTAAAAAGAGATAGCAAAAGACCGACGGCGTGCCTACCGAAACGCGGGGCAGTTGTCAGCCGTCAGATTACCGGTCCTTGTGAAATTCCCAGTCCCGAACTGAACGGGTTCGCTACTACGCCGTCGTTTTACACCTACACTTTTTTAACATATACTCTGTACTACTACAGCCGACACGGCCGACGAGGAGACGGTGCACCTGTCAGATATCCAGGTGTGGCTGGACATGTCCAACCAACAGATCGGCCTCATGCTCAACAGGGACATACAGTACGCATACAGGGACTTCGCTCAGGTAATATATCCACGTATAAACAAACACTTTTCGGGCAGGACTAGTATAAAATTTCTGCTATTTACTCGGACTCTCGCCTGCTTCGTTTTACCCCACTTATTTACACAATTTTAGGCTGAAAATTCCCGAGTCTATCATTGACTAGGTGCCATGGCGTTACAGTTCTGGATTAATATTCCCCATTATTATTTTTTCTGTCGACTAAAATAATACGAAAGTTTATATTAATATTTGGACATCTAGCTCCGTAAAAAACTAATGATTTTTGAATACTAATATAACTTGGGACACATTTAGTAGTTTTCGTGCTAACGACCTCTCATTATATAACGATATTCTGTCCCGTTTCCAATTTTACTCGCCGAATAATCGTCTTGCCACATCACTTCACTTCATCTTTTATGTATTAACATTTCAGGATCTACTGGAGGTTTGCAAGTATAATCCGAAGCTGGGCGACATACCTATAGAGTTCCTGGACCCCATATACGGCAACAAGGATCCCTCGTTCACGGACTTCGTTGCTCCTGGTGTTATTCTCACGTGAGGAATCTATGAGCTTAATTTATACCAATTACATCCGCCTCTTAGTACTTTTTAATAAGGTTCAACAGTCAGGAAACTACATTCTGATCCGTTTCTGGAACGGCCGCTTCGTTGGTTTTGATATGCGTTACAATTCCAGCTTTATTTTATCCTTGTTCTTATGTAATTTCGTAATTTTCAATAGAAGCGTAATTTAGAATTAGCACTAGGTACCGTTTGGAGCTAACCAGTCGGATATCGCTCGAGTATATTTATTTTGAAACAGACGATACGCCCTTCAATATGCCGATCCGTTCTATTGACTCGGGCACTGAGAAAGTTCACAAGTGTTAAAGAAGGTTTTATATTAACGGTTTATATTGACGGTTTTTACTAGAGTTTAGAATGTGATATATGTTTCCGTCAGGATCGTGTTCTTCCTGGCGGTGGCGCTGACGTCGTCGGCGCTGATCGTGGAGCGCATGGAGGGGCTGCTGGACCGCTCGTGGGTGGCGGGCGTGTCGCCGGGGGAGATCCTGTTCTCGCACGTGGTCACGCAGTTCGTGGTCATGTGCGGCCAGACCGCGCTCGTGCTCATCTTCATGATCCTCGTGTTCGGCGTCGAGAACAACGGCAACATCGTCTACGTCATCATGCTCACCATCATGCAAGGTGAGCCGCACCGAACACTCTTCTCGTGACACAGTTCAAATTGAGGAGATTCATGGAAAAGTCCCGATGTAATGTCGGGATCAGGGTTCTAATATATATACTAGTTTGTCCCGCTAAAACAAGAGAAACGCTGAGCCGATTTAGTAAATTTTAGTTTTGAAATGTCTGCAATATTTTGAAATCCAGGGTCATCCACGGAGATGAGATATAAAACGGTGTCTATTTTTTAAATGTCATATAATACTTACGCCACTGTCGCGTCGGCATTGTCCAGGCCTGTGCGGCATGTGCTTCGGGTTCGTGATATCGGCGGCGTGCGAGCTGGAGCGCAACGCCATCCAGCTGGCGCTGGGCTCGTTCTACCCGACGCTGCTGCTGAGCGGCGTCATCTGGCCCATCGAGGGCATGCCGCTGGTGCTGCGCTACGTGTCGCTGTGCCTGCCCCTCACGCTGGCCACCAACTCGCTGCGCTCCATCCTCACGCGCGGCTGGCCCTTCACCGACCCCGACGTCTACATGGGCTTCGTGGCCACGCTGGTCTGGATCGCCGTCTTCCTCACGCTCACGCTCACCATCCTCAAGGTCAAGAAGAACTGACCCGCCCGCTCCGCCCGACCTGCCCGACCGCCGCGCACCGACCGAGATGTCCCGCTCCGCATCTCTCGTTAGAAATATCCATAATTGTAAAAAATGAAATTATTCAGCAAATTTCCTTGAATATCCACGAGGCCCCTCGGTCTGTATCTCGAACGGGGAACGTTTCGGCGACGTCGTCGATGGCGTTGTGAAACGTGAGCCCTCCCGTCGCCCGCTCCGCGGTCGTCCAGTTTACCTAAGCATATCGGTCTTTGCTCAAACCGCTACGAACGAGTCGAGTGCGTCCTCCTCGTAGCCGAACGACTGTTAGTCCGTCCTGTAAATAGTAGTTTTGTATTTATGATAAGTTAATATAGAGTACGCGCGTACTCGACGAGGTGGATTGTTAGCCGATCGGGAATGTTAGCGATAATGATCGGTCGAACGCTTAGGGTATTCGTTTCATAGACTTTCTGGTAGAGGCGTAAGTTTACGAGATACCTGTTAATTGAGTTACCGTAGATTAAGATGGTGCCATAGTGATGGTGATTTTTTTAACTGTCGAAAATAATGTAAACGTGCAACGATAATTCTCCAATACGAAATGGCTTTATGTCCTCGCGACGTGTAGTTAGATACTCGGCAAATCAACTAAAGGAACGTAATCGATTCACCGACCTGTGTACTTAAAAATACCGTTCCCTCCGATTGTTATTTGCCAATTGTAAAGATCTTATGAAACTTCAATTATGTTGCGAGATGAAATCAAAAGTGTTGCCAGTATAATTAATTATTTCACAATTTTAGTCAAAATGATAATCTTTATTTTGACTAAAATAGTGAAATCATTATCTGTCATAATTATCGTAAGATACGCGCCATCTTCTGGTAAGAACGTCAAAATCATGTTTCGATTATTATAATGAATAATTGTCACTGTTGGTCACGCTTTATTTAATGTTATGTTAAATGTGATCAGGATTGTATAAAATTGTAATGTTATTTATCCGTTTAATAATCGTTTAAATGTAATAAAATGATGGCTCAATTAAACCAACGGCTTTAATTTATATGTAAATAAATGAAATGTCTCAAATAAATTATTTTAAATATTCATTTTCTATAAACCATACACTCCTGGTCATGTTTTTATCTAATTTTATTATGTACAGTAAATAAGGTCTATGTGTTTCTTGGATTAAGTATATCTGACTTTTAATTATAAGTTATCGTCAATTAGATAAAGATGGATGCTTACGCTGTCCTTGTCATTAAAACATGGCGGGTAATGACACTACTACGATCTAGATTTTTACTCCACACGTGAATTTATATATCATTTCATTTCACATTTATGTATGACATTCAATAATTTATATGATAAATAGAAAATTAAGTTTTATTAATAAAAATGTATCGTTAAAATAGTTATATAAATGACATAATGTATAATAGCCAAAATCTATATAAATGAATGAGTTTACAACATTGCTGGACAAAGTGTAGTTATCTTTTTATTTTCTGTTCATTTTTGTTTCTGTTACTATTTATTGACACATATATCTCTTCTTAGTATGTTTATTATTGAAATATATATCGATTGTATCTGAATTCACGTTGTACACGTGTATGTAGTTAAAAGTGTCAGACTGTGATTATTTTTGCTAACATTGACATATTTTTTTATAATAAAATGACAATTATACGATAATACTTGTACCAATAATGCCTTTACTTTTACCCCGTCTACCACCTTTAGCAATACACATTGAGGGATAAGACTACGTATAAAATTGATTTTATAAAAAAGGAATTTTGATTATGAAATTTTAGTTTTGTATAACCTAACGTGCTATTGACTGTACCAAATATGTGCACGCGGATTGGTGGGATTTGCGACAGCACAAGCAGCCAAGATCAACGTGTCTTTCAAAGAACAGAGTAGTTAGTGATAATACGCTTTTCGTCACATATCCTCTAACCGGCCCTTGCAAAAGTCACTTATCCCCCTCATGCCAGACCGAGGCGGTAACCACGGCTCCATCGACCTTCTCATAATAATATTACTAAAAATGTGTAAAGGAAAGAAACGAACACAATAATTTAAGATTTTATTGATAAAAATCACAGCTTGGATACACAACTGTACACTAAAACTTAAACGAAGAATAGAACGTTCATTATTATACCCACAGATAGTAGAGATGGGACCCTAAAATAGTTTAATTGTAACCGCAAAATTATTGATATTTCGTAAGGATCTCACTCAACGCCTTCTTTTTCTTCATTCCTTTGCTGAATGTGTGTTTCTGAAAAACAAAATATGAAACATATAAAACACAACCGACGCAGGTGAAACCGCTTGTGGAAAAATTATAATTTTTATAATATCTACCAAATAAATATTTATTTACTGATTAAAATTGTAACTTGTAAAGTTATTTTCATGGTACATAATAATAAAAAAAAACATGCAAAATGAAAAAAAAACGAAGATATCCAATTTAATTACACCAACATTGAATATTTTTGAAATAACATGAAGCAAGGAAGTGGGGCCTCTGCCCTGCAATTCTGTAAAAATCCACATCCGAATTCGAATTCGTTTTCTGGCATAAGTGAAGTGAGTTTCGAAATGACATAGGAATAGATATCTGAGACACGTATGCATCAATCGATTTTGCTATGTATTTTTATACAAAAAATGTAATCAATAGAATTTCTACACTAAATGACGTGATTTATACAGAATCGCAGAGCTGGTGGGCTGGTTAATAAATATGGAATATTGGATATATTGGAAGGGAGCGGAGGGGTATTGGTTAATTATCATTTATTTACCTTTTTCTTTTCCGCCGTCATTCCAACGAACTCTTTTCTGGTTTTCTTTTCCTTCTGCGGTTGATTTAAGTGTTTTGTTCTCTTACCCTCGGGTTCATCACCACTCTCCTGACAAATTGAAAACATTATTATGTTTGATCAATTTTGCATTCAAAATGCTATACATCAATAATAGCTGTTGAAGACAGCCACGTGCCGAAAAATGTACAGATCGAACGACCAATCACAGCGCCTACATTAGCGGAATTATCGGGGAGCCCATTGGCTGCGTAGGCGCCGTCCGCACGGTGGGGGCGATTCCCCCACCCGGCGCGCGGGCGTAAAACGCGCTGTGATTGGTCGGCCGCCGCGCGTCACTAGTAGCTAAGTTAGATGTTAAGTTTAGAATAAGGGTAGGGCCAAATTTGTAAATATTCGTAGTCAAGTCAAGTCAGTCAAGCAGTATAGTCAAGCAGTAATAAGTAGCCAGTAAGAAGAAAAATAAAACGTCTATAGAAGAAATTCGTCTTTGTTTTCACCATCATCCACGGTTATACAACATCGTCTACAGTTTGGTCCATAGAGCCGGATCACCACCCTCAATAGTTTGGTCCTTCGAGAAGCCGGATCTAAACACGTATAGAACCTCCGAGATCCAGCCAACAGTGATTCAAGATGGTGCTTACAAGAAGCCAAGACGAAGAAAACCAACGTCGTGTCTTCGACCAGCCGCCGAGATCGCCCTCAAGTACACCGACCATACGAGGACGCCTCGAGACGGGTAACGCCGGGGAGAGCCTACGCACCGCACCGCAAGTCTCGCAACTAGCGCCTAACGCGAACCGCGCTGGGGCAGACGTTGCCGGAGCACGCGTCGCCTTGGCAGTGACTACGCAGCCGCCGAGCGGAGCGGACGAACGCGCAGCACACCCAACGGACACAGCGGCGACTACTGGCATAACGACATCTGCGATGACGTCATCGGTGCAACCGGCGAGGAGAGTGCACGTCGCGCGTTCGACCCGCTCGGCAGCGAGCAACGCGGCACGCCGGAAGCTACGCATCGAAGCAGAAGAACGACTGGCTGCCATAAGACGCCGAGAACTCGAAATTGAAGCGGACCTCATAAAAAAGACGCTCAATATCGAGTTAGAAACACTAGACGGAGCAGAGAGCGAACCCGAAGCTGAAGAACCGGCAAATAAATTGCAAGATCGAGTGTTCGAGTGGCTCGACGACGCGAACGTCGACCAACAACGGGGGGAGCTCTCGAGAACCGCCGTGGCTGAACCGCCACCTGAACGCGACACGCGACGCCCAGATAGGGAAGAACGAAGACGGTCGTCATCGCGAGGCAGAGGCATCGATCAACTCGCCTCTGTCCTCGAAACCCTCGTGAAGTCACGACCGCCGCCGCGTCAAGCATCGGATCTACCGATATTCTCTGGTTCACCGCTGGAATGGCTACAGTTCGCGACTGCGATGCGAGAAACAACGCGGCTGTACGAATTCACACCTACAGAGAATATGGCAAGACTAAGAAACTGCCTACGTGGAGAAGCTCGGGAAAACGTCGCATCATTGTTGAGCACCGCGACGCACCCCGACGAGATCATGCGAACATTGGAGCAATGCTACGGAAGGCCAGAAAGACTAGTGGACATGGCTTTCGCCGATCTACGGAAGCTGCCGAAGATTGGACCTACCGCGAACGATCTTAACATGTTTGCGGTAAAGCTACAGAACATCGTGGCCGTCCTGAGGAACGTGCAGCCAGAGTACCTGCTTAACCCACTGCTGACCCGGGAAGTCTTAGACAAGATGCCAAGTTACCTTGTATCGAGTTGGTGCAACTTCGCCGAGTCACAGCCGGGCCCGAACGCCGATCTACTCAAACTTTCATCGTTCCTGATGAAAGAAGCTGACCGCTGCATGCGATACAACTATGTATCGAACCTCACCGCACCCTCCACATCGCAACGAACACGTGAAACGCCTCGCCCCGCCCCCAGACCGGAGGCTAAGAAGAAGACGGTGTACGTCGCCACCGAAGAAGCACCGCAGCGCAGATGCCTTTCATGCCAGGAAGCCCACACACTACCTAGCTGCCCAAAATTCAAGCAGCTAACGTATGATGACCGATGGGAGCTGGTGAAGAAGGAGGGGCTTTGCTTCAAATGCATCGTGGGCCGGCACCGTCGATTGAACTGCCGACAGAAGCTCTGCGGAATCAACGGATGCAAGCGACCGCATCACCGACTGTTGCACGCAGATGAGCGTGGAACGACGAACGACGTGGCTACGAGCGCGACCGACTCAAACGCGGCCGCAACGGAACCAGCCACCACCGAAACGACGACGGCTGCCACGACGACAAGCCGCGCCGTCAAATTGAAGATTTGCCCCGTGACAATCACGGGCAAACGTGGGAGCTGCGACACCTACGCGCTCTTCGACGAAGGCTCGACGGTCACCTTATTAGACGACGACCTGGCGCGACAGATCGGCGCCGACGGACCGACCGCACAGCTCAACGTCCGAGGAATAAACAAGAAGCAAAGTCACGTGCAGAGCCGTCGAGTGAAGATTGAAATAAAAGGAACGCGTAGTGACCAGACCTTCAAAATCAACGCTCGCACCATGGTGGGCCTGGACCTCACGCCGCAATCGATACCGGCGGAGGCGATGAAGCTACGACACCTAAGAGATCTCAACGAGCGAGAAGTCGTATACAAGAATGCGAAGCCTCGCATTTTGATCGGGACGGACAACTGGGAGCTCATAGTGACCCGCGAACTACGGTCAGGAAAAACCAAGGAACCAGCTGCCTCCAAAACCGAACTCGGATGGGTAATCCACGGGACGGCGCCATCGAGATCGCTTCGCCGCACCGAGGATATCCTACATGTCGTCACGACCGAAGCATCAGACGACCGACTAGAAGAACTCGTGTCGAGACACTTCCGGATCGACTCACTCGGAGTGTCGCTAGACGCATCACACGTCCGCGAAGAGGACAAGCGTGCCGTCTCCACGTTCGAACGCACCGTGAAGCACAAGGACGGCAGATACGAAGTGGGCCTGCCTTGGCGAAACGACGACGCCAAACTGCCACGGAGTTACGACTCAGCACTCCGCCGGCTCACGAATCTGGAGAACAAGTTGAGAAAAGATCCACGCGACATGGAAGAATACCAGCTGAGGATCGACAACCTCGTGAAAAAGGGATACGCCGAACCCTGCGACGGCTCCGAGGACGCAAGCCCCGTCGCATGGTACCTGCCGCATTTCGCCGTCAAGAATCCCAATAAGCCCGGGAAGCTGCGACTGGTTTTCGACGCGGCAGCAAGAATTCGAGGTGTCAGCCTGAACGATCACCTACTCGAAGGGCCGGATCTGCTACGATCGCTGCAGACCATTTTGTTCCGGTTCCGAGAGGGCGCATACGCGGTGACAGCTGACATCGAGGAAATGTTCCTGCGGATCAAGATACGCCGCGAGGACCAACCCGCACAGATGTTCCTGTGGCGCGACTGCAGGCAGAATGAACCACCGCGCAAGCTGAAGATGACATCGATGATCTTCGGCGCATCGAGCTCACCGTTCCTCGCACACAGCGTGAGGGACCACAACGCGAGACAGCATGCTGAGACGCACCCTGCAGCACTGCGCGCAATCACCGAAGCGCACTACATGGATGACTTCGTCGACAGCTTCAATGATCCGAGAGAGGCCCACGAAGTCATCACCCAAGTCGACGCAGTGCACCAGAAGGCTGGATTCCACCTGAGGGGATGGAACAGCAACAACAGGAAGCTTCTACAAGCCGTGAGCCCGGATAGTAGAGCCAAAAGCGGGACTACGACGTTTGGAGACACAGAGAAGACATTGGGCCTGCTTTGGGATGCGAGTACCGATCGGCTGGGCTTCAATACCGCCCTGCCTAGAGTCCCACTGCCAGTGAAGTCTCGACAACGCCCGCCGACGAAAAGAGAAGCATTATCGACGGTGATGAGCATATACGATCCGCTCGGACTGCTCAGCTGCTTCACAATCACAGCGAAGATAACTCTTCAAAAACTATGGCGCCTCAAGACCGGCTGGGACGACCCTCTACCATCCGACTTGAGCGAGGACTTCGATGCATGGTTGACAAGCCTGCCAGCAATCGACCAACTACGGCTACCCCGTAGTTACAACGGGGGGAGAGAAGTGCGTCGCCGTGAGCTTCATGTATTCTGCGACGCCAGCGAAGAAGCCTACGCTACGGCGGCGTATTGGAGGTTGCACTACGGACCCGGCCATGTCATCGAGACAGTTCTGATAGCGGCTAGAGCTAAGGTCGCGCCCTTGAAGACCCAAACCGTACCGCGCCTGGAACTTCAAGCGGCCCTCATCGGAACGCGACTAGCGAAGGCAATCAAAGAAGAACACCGTGTCAACGTCGACGACACCGTGTACTGGAGCGACTCTCAGACGGTGCTTCATTGGCTGCGGAATGGAAGCAAGCGCTACACTCCATTCGTCGCACACCGTCTGGGAGAAATAACTGAGTCATCCAGACCGCAAGACTGGCGATGGATACCGACGCATCTGAACGTAGCCGACGTCGCCACACGCGCCGGATATACGCCAGCCAACGAAAACGACCTGTGGTTCACGGGACCATCCTTCTTGAAATTACCAAGATCGGAATGGCCGAAGCAACCAACGGATCGAGAAGATGACGAAGCAACGGAAATAACACACGTCATCGCGCACACAACAGAGAGAAACGCGGCGTTACCGGAGATAGAAAGATTCTCGACGTTCGAGCGACTGATCGGCGCAACAGCGCAAGCGCTACTCTTCGTGGAAAGATGTCGCGACAGAACGAAGACACTCAGCCGCGAACATTTCAACCGAGCGACAAATTTATGGCTGCAGCAGGCGCAACAAGACTCCTTCAGCCAAGAAATCGAGTGCCTGAAGAAAGGAGTCCCCGTAGCACGAACGAGCCCTCTGCACCGTTACGACCTCACTTGGGAGGACGGGCTTGTGAAACTGAACGGACGCATCAATAAGGCGGACGTACCGGAAACAGCAAAGAAGCCGATATTATTGGACGGACGCCACGAACTCGCGAAGAAAATCATTGATCGAGAGCACAGACGAGCGGGACACTGCAACAACGAGCGAGTGGTCAACGACGTCAGGCAGCAGTACTGGATCCTGCGGCTGCGACCAACAGTTAAGAAAGTCGCAGCAGGCTGCCTTATGTGTCGACTACGAAGATCGCAGCCAAGGAGCCCGCCGACGGGGGATCTGCCCGCAGAACGTTTACAGCCCTTCAGACGTCCCTTTAGTCATTGTGGGATAGATTATTTCGGGCCAGTCACCATCAAAATTGGAAGACGAAGAGAGAAAAGATGGGTGGCGTTATTCACCTGTCTGACGATACGCGCCGTGCACCTGGAGCTGGTGGCATCACTCACCACTGACTCCGCAATCATGGCGCTGCGAAGAATGGCAGCACGACGAGGATGGCCCGCCGTAATATATAGTGACAACGGCACTAACTTCCGAGGGGCTGACACCGAGCTCAAGAAGGCGTACACCGAGTGGCTTCCCGAGCTGAAGAGAGAGGCGATGAACTACGATGCCACATGGAAATTCATCGCGCCGGGAGCACCTAACCAAGGCGGAGCCTGGGAACGCATGGTTCGCTCCGTGAAAACCGCGCTCAACGCCACATTAAACGAACGAGCACCGAAAGAGGAGGTCCTGCACACTCTACTGGCCGAGGCGGAGCATGCTGTCAATTCGCGACCACTGACGCATGTCTCCGTAGACCCAAGCGACCCGGAGGCGCTAACCCCAAACCACTTCTTGTTGGGGTCATCGACCGGCCTTCCATACACCGGGCCATGTGAAGAGGGCGACCGCAGGACTTGGAGGGCGACGCAAGCACTAGCCGACGCCTTCTGGAAACGCTGGCTACGAGAGTACCTACCGACCCTCGTACCACGCCGCGACCCACAACGTCCACGAAGCAGCGAAGTACGGACCGTAGACGTGGTTATCATAGCCGACCACGCTCTGCCTCGAAACACGTGGCCACGCGGCATCGTAGCCAATACCTACCCTGGACCTGACGGCGTGATTCGGAACGTGGAGATAACCACAAGAGGAGGAACATTTCGGCGGCCGACATCGAAGCTGATCGTCGTCGAACCTGCACTCTCCACGGAACGATGAGAGAGGACGCGCTGCGCGACGGGCACGGGCTGCCAACCGGAGGAGGCTGCGGAGATCCTTCGCCGGGGGGAGACTGTTGAAGACAGCCACGTGCCGAAAAATGTACAGATCGAACGACCAATCACAGCGCCTACATTAGCGGAATTATCGGGGAGCCCATTGGCTGCGTAGGCGCCGTCCGCACGGTGGGGGCGATTCCCCCACCCGGCGCGCGGGCGTAAAACGCGCTGTGATTGGTCGGCCGCCGCGCGTCACTAGTAGCTAAGTTAGATGTTAAGTTTAGAATAAGGGTAGGGCCAAATTTGTAAATATTCGTAGTCAAGTCAAGTCAGTCAAGCAGTATAGTCAAGCAGTAATAAGTAGCCAGTAAGAAGAAAAATAAAACGTCTATAGAAGAAATTCGTCTTTGTTTTCACCATCATCCACGGTTATACAACATCGTCTACAGTTTGGTCCATAGAGCCGGATCACCACCCTCAATAATAGCAATAACAGTAAGCACAAAGTTAGACTTCATTTTTTATGAAAAACAAATATCCAATTAAAAATGGAAATTTACAACAACCTCGCCATGATCTCAGTAATCGCAGACAGAATACATTAACCACTGCACTACAAAGTTTTTCAAAGTGGTAAACAGTTTACCTGATTTTTCCTTTTATGCATTAGTCTTCTTTCAGCTCCTTCAACTTTCCCATCTTGCTTTTTAAAGCCTTTCCCACCAAACTTCTTCCCGTACATACCCTGGTGTTTCCTCTGTGCGTTACCCTCGTTCTTAGCATTAATGTTACTGCCCGGTTGTTGGTTAGATCTCTTATTTGTTTGTGTGCAACGTTTCACTCTTAAAATTCTGTTCTTTATCGTAAGGTCTTCCTCAGACATAGCCAAAGCTAATTCGACTCCATCTTTTGAAGCAAAGTTTACATATGCAAAACCTGCAACAAAAAAATATAATAAAAATGATAACTACATTGTTATTGTTGTTGATAGATTATTTTGAATTTGGATTATGGAACATTTTTTTGTAGAAAACATACAAAAGCGTGACGTAGTAGTGACGTCCTCCTCAACTCCTCAACTCTAATGCCTGTGGTCTAAGCTATTTCTAGTATAATATTTTTCTGTTACCTGAAAGGACTAAGTAGAATTTCTGTTTCTTTACCCAGGCATTATCCCTATTGTAATTTTTTTTCATGTTCCAATGAAATTATGAATGTATCTGAGAAATGATTGTTAGAATTTTCATTATACAAGGACAGAAATATGACGTCATAAGCACGCACACGCATTTTACGTCTCTCTGTTTTATTGTTTACGTTATTTTATTGTGCCTAAACCTTCTGATAACAATGTTATGTATGATCATTGAACGAAAATTAATGATACATTGATTTCACAGACCTTTTCCGGCATTGGTTTTCTTATCTCGTATTATTCTAACAGAATCAATATCCCCACACTTTGCAAACTTTTCTCTCAGTGTTTCATCTTCAATGGCAAATGGCACGTTACCAACGAACACAGCGTTACGGGGATCATGTTCAGCTCCAGTGGTGTCACTGCGGGTCACACGCAAGTGGCAATCCCCTATTACTGTGTTATTCTCTACCAACGCCTGAAAGAAATATTAGAAGTCAATCATATTCAATAAAATTCTATTCTTTGTATGTTTGCCACTACCACTGCTCAGTAGTGTATCCTACCAAATGACATTCATATAATTGTAAAATGGGTCATAAAAAGGAAAAGCCTAGACAAGCTATTGTCTTCCTACATTGTCACCATTTAGTGCAGAAATAAGATAACAAAAATTAATTGATAAATATCCTGAGTAAGGAAGATGGTATAATTTCCTATGAATTCATTCTGTATTAGTATAGTATTATAGTTAATAATTATTATAATAGACTATATAGTACCTGTTCAACAGAAGATGCATCTCTGAACTTAACATATACATTGACTGTACTCCGTTCCGGATGTAACTCGTTCTTTATAATCGCCAGTTTGGGTGTCACACGGGCATCTTTTACAGGAACTGTACGAATTCTGGAATAACACATTTGTGATTTTTTATGGCCACTGACGACTTAATTCCCAGAGAGTACTTTTTGACATGAAATATAAAAGACAGATTCCTGTCGTCATAAAGAGCTACGAATCATCATGGACGGCTCTAAAACTAACACAGGTACATGTACGTGTGTCTTACGAAGGGCTTATGCAACAGAAAGCCTGCCCAAATTGTGAAAAGTCGTGGGTTCGAGTCCCATCTCAGAGTGCCAAGGACAAAGTGGAACTTTGAGCATTTTCTATTCAAATAATTTAAGTTAGTTACATATATTTGCATCAAATTATAAAACTAGTTTAATGATGTCAATATAAAGGTGTGATAAAGTACTGGGGCACAAATTGGAATCCTAGTCAGAGCAGTATTTATTTACCAAGATAAGTTTAAAAAAAACAATTATTGATAATAATGGAATTTTAGCAAGCCTTACATATTATAAAAGTTACTACACATATGTTGGATCTTAATTAAATGGATTTATAGGGAAGAAAGGGATTGCTAAAAACAAGAGGGACATGGAGAAAAAACAGGTACTTTATAACAACCTATACTGAATAAATCAATTTGAAAATTCTTATGAAGGGTGGATGTTAAATATGAGAATAGATGTTGAATAGAGAAAAAAATTTACAATTGTGCAAAGTTGACAAATGAGTAACGATTCTCAAGCTAATCATCTAGTAATTAATGATATAATGTATTCCTGATAATAAACCCACCTAACAGTTTCAATGATTCCATATTTACTAAAAATTTTCTTGATCTCTTTCTTACATTTTTTATTAAAAGGAACGTTTCCTACAAATAAAGTTCTTTTTATTTCATCTTGAGTCATTGCTTTTGCAGTTTTGTCTTCATGTCCAGTTTCTTTAACTTTTGGTGCTTGCTCATCGTCATCAGAACTCTCATCGGCCAGTTCAGTTTTAAGAATATCATTATTTACTTCCTCATTCTCTGAAAGAATCTCATCATCTGATTCATGTTCTGAATCTGTATCTTTATTTGTGATTGCATTAGGATTGACAATATTTTTTACTTTATTTCTTTTAGATTTCTTTACTTTTTTGCTACTTTTTGATTCATTTTCTAGTTTAGAGGTTTCTGATATCAAACTTTGATTATTAATGTTTGATACCTTTCGTTTTTTCTTTTTCTTTTTAGGACTCTGTTCGTCCACATCTTCTGATGCCTTTATGTCAGTATCAATTTCCTGTGGCAAAACCTTTTTCATAGCCTTCTTTATAAAATTTTCTTCCTGATTTTTGTTAATTGTTTTACTAATTTCTTGTGCTTTTTTCCGTTTGTTTGATTTTGTTTCTAAATCTGTATTTGAGGTTAGTTCAGTTTCATGTTCAATATTTGATTCAGTTTTTTTCTTATTTTTCTTTCCAGGGCTCTCTTTATATGCTTTTTCCGATACTTTTGTGATATCAGTAACCATTTTCAGTGCAACATTCTTTTTTTTATGATCCTCTTGCTGATCTTCATCTATGGTTTCACTGATTACTTTTAATGTTTTCTTTTTCTTCCTAGGAGTATTTTCATTTTTACTCTGAGGAATTTCATTTTCATTAGCAAAATTTTGGCAATCAAGAGAATTGTCAAACTTATCTTTCTCTTTTTTTGGTGACTTCATTTTATTATTGTTTCGATTATCGTCTTCTAAATCTTCCTGCAAATGTTTCTTAACCTTATCGGCTTTTGGACTTGACTTATTCTCTGGATCACAGGTCACATCCAAGTCAGGGTTCTGGAATATTCTTTTAGGCGATTTTTTTATTATAGCTTTCTTCTTTTGCACGGAAGGCGATAAAAATATTGAACGATCATCCACCATTTCACTTTTTGGAGTAACGTTCGGTGAAGGCTGATGTTTTGTAGGCGTCAAAGCCCTCTTTAAAAATTTAGGTCGGCTAGGAGTTACGTTTCCTGATATTAAAGCTGCCACGCTGCCAATAACGTAATCCATAATAAGAGAATATCACTCGAGCCAAGTTAAAACAATTTAATAATTACATTTCAATCGAAACCGGAGACATGACAGATCGCACATGGTATTTTTGACCATTTTTGACTTTGACATTCTGTTAGCATTGAGCAAAAACTATCGAGCTTTCTCTGTCTACGCTATCGATATATCAAAATATCGATATTTTTTCTGAAAAATATCGAAATAAAACAGTGATATTTATTTTCAGATATCAAATTCGTATCATAATCGATATATTTTTAAAGTTCTGCTGTCTGCTCATACGTCTCATCGTGTATTTCTTAAATTTAAAAAGAGAAGTAGGCATTAGGCTATATGAATTTAGAAATTACATTCTATGACCTGCTTATTTTTTTTGTTTCTTTAGGACAATGTCACTATGAGGAGTAGTGGGCACACAGAATTGTGTGAAAATCGAAATTTGCTGCTGATACCTCCATATCTATATAGCTTTCGTCGGAACCAGTCACGGAGCTTTATGCTTGGTCTTTATCTAGCAAAATTCCCTTGTCAAAGAGGATATGTGATTGTCAACTTTTATTTGACCAAAATATATGCGGATTACTACAAATGTTCGTATTTAGATCACTTGTTTCATTGTGGTATCAGTGTTTAGTTATCTTTACGTATGCGAGCAAATCTCGAAAAGTAATAATATTTCAGATCTGAAAAAAATACGTGATAAAATAGACTATTCTTAAGAGTTTTACGCAAAAAGTGAATTAGACCAAAAATGTAGTTGACCGTCTGTTCTTTGCTACCGTTGATATAATCCACATCGTTTGCTGATTTAGAAGAAACCCTTACCTACCTCAATTGTTCCGAGTCGTTGTCAATGGCCGTTCATCACGAGCAATGGCAACCAATGCCGGAGTTCTTCAGGGGTTTTTTCTCTCTGCAACTCTCTTCCTGTTGCACATTAACGATCTGCTCATACTCGGTATCTATGGGTACGCATATATGGGTAAGTTCCGAGTCGTTGTCAATGGCCGTTCATCACGAGCAATGGCAACTAATGCCGGCGTTCCTCAGGGGTCTGGTCTCTCTGCAACTCTCTTCCTGTTGCACATTAACGCTCTGCTTATACCCGGTATCTTTGGGTACGCAGATGACAGCACAGTTGTGGAGAGATACCTGCCTTACGCCCGGGCCAGTAAAGACCAAATACAGTCTGAAAGAGCAGCCATGATAGCGCATATGAGTCTCACACTTCAGGCAGTCTCCGAATGGGACGATGCCAACCTTGTGAGATTCAACACCAAAACACAAGCGTGTCTGTTCGTTGCCAAACGGAGCCCGTTCATCTTGGCTCCTACTCTCCGAAATGTCTCCTTGGAATACACCTTTAGGGCCGTAAGGTTGAATCTGTGGTCCCTAGTGTGGTGATGGAGACAACTGGCCAGGGAGACTAAAGGATAATTGTCTCCCTCCGAGCTAGGTGTTGTTAGCCCGGGGACCGCGGTCCAACCGATGTAGGTTGGACGTTCTATTTATGTTAATTGGTAATGAAACTTATTCTGTGCGATGCAGGTTTCTTTGTTCTAAATGTGTTGTAGTTATTAATTTATGCTGCTTATATTGGTACAGCGCCATCTCGTTACTTGCTGTTGAAACTTATTGCAGTTCGTCTTGCTATCGATGGCTGTGACGATGCTAGACTTCTCGCTATCGATTGTTGTGGCGATGTTACTGCGATGAATTAGATGTCGCTATATATCAGTCGCCACAGTACTTTCCCCCTAGACCGAAGGTCGATCCATGTTGATAGTAGGTGGTATGCAGTCAGTGCTTCAGAGCTTGCAAGTGCCATGGTTGTGACGTCGGGACCGAAGCTGCTGGTGTGCAGGGCTGCCACGCCGGTGAGTTGTGTGTGAACTGAGGTCCGGTCGTGGGCTGCGAGAACCAGGTCGGAGTGATGCCATCGTGTGGTACCAAGTATCCAGGAAGCGTCGTCGATGCTGCTGTGATGGACCTTGGTGTTGGCTGGCTTGCTGCTGAAGTGGCTGTGTGCTGGTGAGGGATGAGAAGCTGATGATGAAGGGTGAAAGGCTGTTGATGAAGAGTGATGGCTGCTTTGTGATGCTGAAGGTTGCTGATGTTCTGCTGGGGTCACCACTTTAGGAACCTTATGGTTGAAGGTGTGGTCCCTACTGTAGTGACGGAGACAACTGGCCAGAGAGACTAAAGGATAATTGTCTCCCTCCGGGGACCGCGGTCCAACCGATGTAGGTTGGACGTTCTATTTATGTTAATTGGTAATGAAACTTATTCTGTGCGATGCAGGTTTCTTTGTTCTAAATGTGTTGTAGTTATTAATTTATGCTGCTTATATTGGTACAGCGCCATCTCGTTACTTGCTGTTGAAACTTATTGCAGTTCGTCTTGCTATCGATGGCTGTGACGATGCTAGACTTCTCGCTATCGATTGTTGTGGCGATGTTACTGCGATGAATTAGATGTCGCTATATATCAGTCGCCACACACCGACCGGCACGGCAGTCGGCAGCTAGAAAGCTAGGTATCCTAGCAAAGGTCCGGCACTGGAATTGCACGACCTAATTCCCCCCTCCTCGATCTACCATCAAACGTCTCGACGTACTTCTAATCTAATCCTTTAGTCGTCTCCGGTAAGAACGGCGTGATTCGATTTGTCATTCATAATACGTATACGCCAAGGACTGGAATAAATTGCCAGCGTCTGTATTTCGTCCGATAATATGAATGTCTTCAAATCAAGAGTGAATAGGCTGTTACTAGGTTAACGCGCTATACCACCCAAGGTTTCATCACCACTTACAATACAATACTCGTTACTTCTGATACCTCAGAATATGTTATGTTAGAGCAACGAATCGAATCATATTGCGTACGCGTTAATGACTCTTATTTTTTAGTCATTATTGCTACGGGTACCGTAATACGACGCAACATTCGCTATTTGTAGAAGTTATTTATTAGTACCTATTGAAAAATTTATATTTACAATAAAATTATACAACATTGTAACGATAAATCAATTGAAACAAATAGTTGAACTAAGAACGAACAAATGAAATAAAACGTCCGTATCTTTTGTGCCTAAAATGAAACTAATTATAATAATAAGCATCAACGATACTTGTATGTAAAACTGAAACAGTGTATATGGGGTACAAAAAGTACGAGTAACGAAATACATTCGTGAGTAACGATTCGTAACTCGTCTATTCAGTACCGAATATATACGATTTGTTGCAGCTCTATTTATGAAAGAAGAAACATTTAAAAAAATATATGGGGCGGAAAGACGCTTTCGTAGTTTCTAAGTAATTTTAACTTTATTTTGTGTTTCAGTGTTGTAAAAGTTCAGTGATTTCTTTGAAAATTGAGGATTTTGAAGCAGAGTCTAGTTGTGAGTATTAGTCTTTGTTTCTTATTAATACGTAAAACAAAACATTTAGCGCGCCATTGTTCGTACCACCCGCCATTCTCTTTTTTCATGTATTTTTATTTTACATTACACCATTGCTGTTTATTTTGAGAGCCGAATTGATATAGTCACATTAAGTGTTTATAAATTAGTTACTCTATATTCATAAAAATTATTCATTGCCTTCTAGCTTCTAGGTTATAAATTAAACTTCGCCGTGCCGAGTGTAATACAATATTTCGACTGGGTATTATATCATTGTAACCTACAGCTTGGTTTATTCAAGTTAGGGATCCAATTACTGTCTACGGATATATTTTTTACTGTATTAAAGTGTATTCTGTATGTTGCATATTTTTATACAAGTTTATAGGTATCATAACTAGGAAGTGGCCTGGTTATGTAGATTTTTTGCGGCTTCGTGGATGACCTTACTAGTATTGTATTAGGTTAATGGTCTTTGAGACTTGTCTTAAGTAGGTATTTTTTTTCATTATATTTGCTCTCTCAAAATCCCTGTTATTCCATTTGAAAAATAAATTATCAAATAAATACAAATATTATTTGATAAAGCTGATAACGTTCCTGCAGTTAGATTGTTTATTGTGCAACTACAAATTATATATTCTGTTTTTTTTTTTTACATACATTATATTATTATATTTGATCAATTTTGCATTTACAATGCTTACTGAAAAATATTCTTAGTGGAAAATGAAGAAAATACACAATATTGGTATATAATTGTGTTAAAAAAATTAAAATATTTATTATTTGTGTAGAGGAAGAACCAGTGTTGTTATAGGGTGAAGTTAGAAATAAGTTATCATAGCTTATGTAGGAGTTTAAACCTTACTCATGTATAATGGACATAGTATTTGGTTTATCAATGCAATGAGAAGAGCTATAATTAAAGAGTTATAATTTAACCTCTATGATTGAGTGACTTGCACACCAATTTCAAGTTTGTGATCATCTCTAAGGCCCTGGCTTCGATTTAGTTTGAGTTAATGTAGAAATTTTTTTTTTCTATATAGTCTGGTTTGGATGCTTTGTTACCTTTTCTCAAGGTATTATGGTATAACTACAAGGACTTGTATTATTACAAGTGCTTTAATTTGGTATCTGAGCAAATATTTAAGTGTATTGTAAGTAATTACATGACATTAAGTGGTCCATAAGGCGCCTACCACACGTGCATGCTTGACCACTTTGGGGTTTGCGCATGCTACCATTTTACCAACTACACGCACAGTGTTCAGTGTACAAGCCGGCATGCGCAAGTAAAACTGTGGTCAAGCATGCACGTGCGGTAGGCGCATTAGTCGACTTTTAGGGTTAATTGACTTTTGATGAAATTTAAAAGACATGCAAATTGTACTTTTTTTCTATAAATGTTTTTATTACAACTAGTTTTCATACATAATAGATGACTTAGATCTACCTGCATCTATAATATCTACAATTTTCCTATCACACATATGCAATAATTGTATAGTCCCTCCATATAAAAAAGTATTAGTGCATAAAAATCACTGAAGCATACAATCATAGGTACTGCTGAGTGTAACATTTACAACAGGAAGATATTTCAGTGTGTAGTAATAATAATATTGGAATGATTTAATATAATATATTGTCTTCATTTGATTATATTAGTCACAATGAGTGGTTCTAGTGTATTAAAACTATACATTTTATACAAGAGTATCAACATTAATTAAAAAGAGAGTCTTAAATTTTTAATAATAAAAGATATACTCTGTTAAGTGACAAAAAATTAGTATACTTCATAAATGAGCTCTTCTCTACAAATTATGTAGAAAACACTATCTTCTACCACTTGCTTTACGCCATATATAAATGACCCCATGTATTTATTGGAAATTGCATTTAACTCAATTGACTGTCCAGAACTATTAAGACCACTTTTGTTGAGAGTTTCTAACAAGCTTTGGAGAAATGACCCACTCTTACACCTACCCTTGGTTCACATGAACTACAAGAACACCTATGGCATGCTAGTGGTCGGAATGAGGGTGGAGTTATTCATGTACTTACACTGATTTCATACAGCGAAAGAATAAAGTGGATATACCCCAAATCCCGAGATAAATTTTAAAGGGCAGAAAAAATCCCGTGATTTTTTAAATAAAAAGTTATTTACTTTTACACAATTTAAACTACTGCACGCACAACGTTGCCAAACTTACATCAATGACATCGGATGTCCAAAGATGTCCAAGATTGTCCATTAGAAATCCCGGGAAGGTCCACATTAATATCAACATTTCGATGAAGTACAATTGTGTGGACCAGTAACTGGCATCTGCCTCCTATTCTTAATATTATTTTTGTTTATTATCTAGAGGTCTTCCTATGATATAATAAATAAATAAATATTTTAAATGTTGTGTATATTTAACTAGGTATGTAATGTCTAGATATCACTTCTTTAAACTGAAACAATGGTCACACATTTGTTGTTGTACTGACAAAATATCTTAAGAAAGTTTTGTCTCTTTTGAGCTTATCGCTTTCAATGGTCTTCAGACAAATGTGACAGACAGGGCTTACAAAAAATTTGGACACTGATTTGGTTTGTGCTTGATTAAAATTAATTCAATTATGTCACAATAATATCAAATGCAAGTGCCACACATGTGATCATATAAGAGTTCACATATTTGGTGTTGCCATAACTATTGTTGTTTTGTACTAAGTTTCCTAATATAGTTTTTTAATATTATGTGAATTCCAGTAGTTACAGAAAATGTTCCAACACTATTTGACTTGCAAATTGATTAGCAAGTTGTTTTGCTAAGTACATATTTGCAATACTATTCAGAGTTTACATCCTTTAGTCACTGCAGGAGTAGGGCTTTCACAGCAGGTGCTATACTAAATTAAGGTTGACTGTTCAATTGTAGTTCTGAAAACTACAATAAAAGTCCATCAAAGTTGTAAAAAACTAATGTAGGTCATTTGTGGTATTATGAAAGCCTATGCCTAAACTTCAGTTTTTTGTGTGTTATCTAAACTCTCTGATTCATACGAATTTTTGGCACATGATGACAACTTTTTTTTAATGTACATCATCGATGAGTCGATAAAAAGCTCCATAGAAATATATTGTCTAAACATGAATTATATCTGGCGGCGGCTGCTATCACTTCTGCAGATCGCTTTTGTCTAAAATTGAATAAATTTTTTGTAAATTTTTAGGTGCATGAGCAATAAAACATCTCACAGAATGAACAATACAAAGGCTATCCCTTTGTATTGTTCTACGTTAAGGCCTACCTTATAGCTAATATGATTACTACCTTATACTACGATATCCATAACATACAAAGAGTTAATCATTGGCTTGTAATGTTATATTTATTTGCCTTATGAACTCTTTCTTTACTGAAGAATGTATTGCTGTCTGTAGAAATGTATATTTGGTGGCAGTGGATATCATTTTTAAACGACTTATAGGTATCTAAATTTGTCTGGGAGTTAATGTTTAAAAGTCTACTTAGAGTAGATAATGGATAAATAAATATCCATCTACTATAAGACAGTTTCAATGTGCAATGGTAAATCTTGTCTATCTTGGAATGCATTTCACTCAAAAAAACTAATTATAAATATAGTAAAAGTCTCCGTAAAGCCTTCAACTGCAAAGTGACTCGCATATTTTCCATCTATTCTGCTTTCGTACTCAATACATGTAAAGTTCCAATAATAAAATATTATTATTGAGGCGGTGGTGATGTAACTCCAAATAAATTATGTTAGATTTTTAAAGTTTTTATTCACCACTCACATGTGTAAAAAGTAATAAAATATAAGCACAAAAGTACAGACAATGCTATAGAATAAAGAAGGCGAACGTGAGCAAAAAAAAGAAATATGAAACTATTTCAGGTTGACATCTAATAATATGAACAATAAATTTGAATTAAAACAACGCGTGCTACATGCATCTCAATAATAATAATCTGTGGACGCGACTCTCGTATTTCGCGGGCTACCTCACGCATGCGCGAGCCGCGACGCCGCGCCGCGCGGTCTCACGCCTGCGCAGTAACCGCGTCCCGAGCTAGTGCGAGCGCCAAAATTATATACAAAGAAACTAGATGTGTTTGTCCTTGTGTAACACATTCAAACAAATACATTAAATATTATTTCTTAAATTTAACATGTTAAACAATTTTATATATTATGTTATTGAGTATTTGTACATATAATTTAATTAAATATAATATTTTTTTTTATAATGTTTACTTTGACAATTATTTTATCTTATGCATATACATTTATTTATATGTAGGTACACTACATCACCCCCTTCCAGAGACCGTCCTACGGGCGATAATAATCTGGAAATTGAACCCGACGACCTGATTTAGTAATTTTAGGAATGTTATCAGTGGCAGGTAAGTCATCACATACTTTATGTGTAGACGAATGAGAGTGATTGTGTGAGTATGAGTTGTTTGAGATATGAGGTGTAAGTGTTGTGGTATCTGGATCACGCAGTATGTATGCTGGTTTTAATCTGTCAATCGAGACAGTCACTGGTTTACCATTTATTGCAATTTTAAAAACTTTGTCACCTCGTTTTAGGACTTCGTGAGGTCCGGTATATGCTGGTTTAAAAGAGCCAGCCCCTGCGTCATCGCGAAGGAAGACATGAGAAGCAGTGGTCAAGTCTTTGAATATGAATGGAGAGCGTGAACGACCATGACGCGAAGCTGGAGACGGTTGCAAGTTTTTAGTGAACATGTGAAGACGTCCTACATAATCTGTCATGTCGATTGTGTTATCTGTACCTGGTTGAAAAAAATCTCCTGGCAGACGTAGTGGTTCTCCATATAGCAATTCAGCAGAAGATGACTTTAAATCTTCTTTATAGGTGCTACGAATACCTAATAAGACAAGAGGAAGAGACTCTACCCAACTGCTGCCAGTGTGGCAGGTTATTGCAGCTT